TAAGTTACTGTAATGAACGACTACGAGCTCATTTGAAACAATCACTTTATACTAAAAGAAACACAAACATCTGATCTAGATAGTTCTTGGTATTAATTACACTTATATTTACTGTAAGCTTTTAAGAGCTAAAACACCTTTAAAAATAGCAGACTGAGCTGAATGTCTTCTCTATATATTTTTATATTTTTATAATTAGACCCCTTGCTTAATGCAGTCTGAGGTCTGCACTGATGTAGGTCATGAAACTGGGGCTACAGTGAATAATTCAAGCTCAGCTGTAGAGATGTTGTTTCATTAAAAAAAGAAAGCACAGATACACATAACTGGATCAGAGAAGAAATCAAATGTTATAATATTCAGATTAGACATATGACTAGTGGTTTACCAAAATTAAAAGCCAAGATAAAATGTTATATTGAGTGTAAAATGTAAATATTGTTGTTATCCCACTAGAATACATAAAATATCAGTAGGAATTAAAGACACTTTGTTTGTCTTATGCAATGCAGGAGGATGGGAAGGCTGAGGAGAACATGGCCCAGAAAAGAGCAGCTCTAATGGAGAAAAGGATGAGACGAGAAAAAGAAAGTCAACAGAGAAAGATGCAACTGGAGGTTGAGCTGGAGCAGAAGAAGGAGGAAGCACGGTGTGTGCAACTTTTCATTCCAGAATATTGACATTGTCATACACTGTCAATTGCACAAAAGTGTATGTTGTTTCATATTTATCTTTATTTTTGGTTTGCAAAATGACCTCTCATGAACATAATACAATGCACAAATACAAAACAATACAAGAAAATCTACTTACCTTTTGAATTGAGCCATAGAGCAGTAAATAGACTTTAAAACCTATTTAGTTTTTGATATCCATGTTGTTCTATCCAGAGATTGCCTAAAACTCTTATCTCTAAACAAAAAAAATGAGTCTTTGCATTTGACCACACCCTAATCCAGTCATGATGCTGAACTAGAAGAATGATGAAATTATAGATGTATCTTACTGTTGTCTATTTTATGTGTAGTATCAAAGCAGAGGAGGACCGCATCAGGAAGGAGGAGGACAAGGCCAGAAAGGAGTTCATAAAACAGGAGTATTTGAGGAGAAAGCAGCTGAAGCTCATGGAGGACATGGAGACGCTCATCAAACCCCGCACACAGAGACGGGGAAGGCCCAAGTCAATCCACCGGGACAGTCTAGAGTCCCCCAAAACACCTGTCAGGGCCGCCACAGGTAACCATTGAAACAAGACAGCATAAAAAAATGAATGTATAACTTGTTCACCCATTCAATAATACTTTATCTAAAAATAACCTTTTATTTCTTATATGTGTAATGGATTTTATTATGCACGTTAACAGCAATGTCTCCTTTCAGTGTGCAGTTTGTCATTAGCTTCGCTCAATCAAGTGGATGACAGTGAAAAGAGAGCGCCAAGGTAAGCGCTTTTAAAAGTAATTACACTATACAAAATGATCATTCCAAAACTTGTCTTGCACTTAAAATATTATTCTTGATTCTGAAGTATGGGCTGTGTTGTGGTCTGCTCTAGTCTTTTAACAGTACAGCATATCTGTTATTTTCTCAAAGCCAGTTTCTGTATTTCTTAAACTTCAAAGTCTAACTTTTCTTGTGTATTGTCATCTATTACCTTACCCTCTATTCTTACCTGACACTTGTCAGAAGTGCGAGTTTAGCCTCTGTCAGTCTCTTCTACTTTCTGCGTTCTCCTAAAAGGAGACGAAGGAGGTTAGTTTGTTCTTATGAATGTAAGCTAAAGGTATGGCCTGCTTCTTGCATAGATATCAATTTCTGCTTTTTTATTAGGGGTTCATGTGCCTTTAATAAAATGTATTTATTATTTACACTTTTTATTTCATATACTTCAGCACCCTCCACTGATCATTATTCACCAAATAACTTCCTACCCTTATATTATACAGTAGTGCTATTTGAACACTTTAACTGTGTATGTTCTTATTACTAAGGTACATTCACCTGCTTGTTTCACAGTGAGATAAGAAATAACAATTGTAATTTTACCTTTTTATTTATTTCTTTACTAATTGCTTCATCTCTGCACCCAATGCTTGTAAGCTTTGCTATTTGCCACGTGCAAGAATCACAAAAAACGTTTTTGTATTCCACTTGGGGGAAACCGCTTTTATACTAGTGGGGATTTTGTGTTTTGAAAAGCAAATCAATAATGATATGTTGAATGTTTGTCTTGTAGGCCAGATTCGGCTGATGGCTTCCTGTCTCCAAGTCGCTCAAGCAGCAGGAATGGAGAGAAAGACTGGGAAAACGCATCCACAACCTCGTCTGTCACATCCAACACAGAGTACACAGGTATGACTCCAGGATAGGCTTTTTATTTCAGAGAGACATCATTTTGTGAAAGCAAATTCTGATTTGCAAATGTCTAAAGAATATTCTAGATATTTATTCATAATTTAATAGGAAGAAAAATGGCTTAGCTCTCCAAATAACTGGAGAGGTTGCTATGACAACACTCTCACTTCCCTATTTTTTTAATCATTTAATCTTTTTTTACAGGTCCAAGGTTGTACAAGGAGCCCAGTGCCAAATCTAACAAGCACATCATTCAAAACGCCTTGGCCCATTGCTGCTTGGCTGGAAAGGTCAATGAGGCCCAGAAGAACAAGATCTTAGAGGTAACTCACTACCTTCTTCCTTTTTGTTTATTAATTTATTAATGAAAAATACTATCGCCAATTATAAATTAAAGGTCCTATATTACACAAAATGGATTCTCATGAGCTTGAAGCCATGTTATAAGGTTGGTACCACCTCCAAAACATACCTGGGGTTGTGTTTTTGTTTCATTCACACTTGTTTGAGTAACCCTTTATTATTAGTCTGTCTACATCTCCAAAGCTCAAAATGCTCTGTTCCACAATGTGATTTCATAAAGCTGTGGTTTTCAAGTTAACGAATACCCTTTCGTTGAGTAGAGATTGATAATTCTATGGCTGAAATCATCCAGTTGATTCTAGTGAAAGTGTATGAAGTTTCAAAACACAGTGGAGCACAGTGTAAATATTAATGTTGTGATTTGTGTGTTAAACATGTGTGAATGAAACAAAACACAAGGTATATTTTGGATGAGGAAACAACATTGTAACATAGACCAGAAAATAGCGTAATATGAGCCATTTAATTAATTATGCACACTCAACATTAAATTAGTTATATCTAATAAGCCAAAATTGATTCTGTTTCAGGAAATGGAGAAATCAGGGGCCAATAACTTCCTGGTTCTTTTTCGAGATGGTGGATGCCAGTTCCGGTCTCTTTACACCTACTGCCCTGAGACCGAGGAGATCAACAAACTGGCAGGCATAGGCCCCAAAAGTGTCTCTCGCAAGATGATTGACGGGCTCTACAAATATAACTCTGACAAGAAGCAGTTCAGTCAGATACCAGCTAAAACCATGTCAGCTAGTGTGGATGCTGTGACTATTCATGGTCACCTGTGGCAAACCAAGAAGCCAGCCACTCCCAAAAAAGTAGTACCACCACAGAGCTAATGCCAAACTTCTCACTATGAAAAAGAATAGCAATTGCACTTCACTGTAAATATCCATGAAGATTCAAACACCTGCAATGCCAATTTAATGAATGCATTTATGTTTATTTATGTTCTTAGATCAATGCTACATACTCGTCATTGTTAGGTCTATGGACTAGATTGAAATAGATCTGGCAGGACTCCTGAAAACTGGAATGTATGTCACCAATGCTGAGGAGGACTCTTTTCTCTGTGTTTTTACATTGTTTTGGTGGTTATGAAGTGTCTATTTTATGATGTGCCAAACATAAGGAGACAGTATGAATGACGGGTTATTTTCCTCAATACATCAAGCACTGAATGTTTTAAGTCTTGTACAGAATAATTTGTTTACATTTATGTGTATTTTGTTTGTGGAAACGCATTAAATAGTTTTATTATATGAATGAAAAATAGTTTCTCAGTAAAACAGTTGTATAATAAGGTATGTAAAACTACATAGGGCCAAAAATGTGTTGCATACAGCTAGCATTAGCCTCACACAACATGTGTGTTCAGCTCAAAGCGTAGCGGTTTCAGCTTTTTACACAAGCCTTTTCAGGACTTTTTACAGAAATGCTGGGTAATATTCAACACAAAGCCTGATAAAGCTATAATGTATTTTCTTTATTATTTATGACTCAGTGTAAACTATTATCATATTAAATGTTGGTTTTCCTGTAGTCCCTCTTGAGGTTTCTGGTCTGGCTGTACAGGGATGTTTCCCTTATTCTAAAGTGGTACGAAGAACCAGTTTGATATGCTGACACAGGTTTGTAAACAGTGTTATTTTTAATGCTGTCAGTATTATGTGTGCAGGAAGTTAAACATTAAGGTACAATCACAGCTACATTATTCTGTGAAATGGCAAAGACTGAAATGTCAGTTAAATGCAATTGTGTCAGGACTTACAGGTCCTGTATGTATGGATACTTTCTTGACCATATTTATTCAATAAAGGGTATGTGGTTCTATAATATTTATTTGCCTTGCAGTGTTGAATTCTGTAATTAAAGAGGTTCACAGATTTGTCACAGCAGTTAGTGTCTGCTGCTACAGTTTCAATAAGAATGGGCCATTAACCAGGCATCTGTGAATTTATAACTATTTACAAAAAAACAGTGCCACTGAGACACAAACATCCAAAAAATCTCTAAATTGTCTAAATTTTCAGATTTTTTTATTTATTTTCTACTGCTAAGAATTTTATTCTTATTGCCTAGTTTATGGCTCAGTGGCCTCGCACTACAACCCATAATGGCAAATTGCAAACTCCAAACCAAACAGTAGTTTCACAGGAGGCAATGAACTTGATCAAATTGAATGAGCGGCCGGTGTGGGCGGGACCTGAAAACACCGCGGCCACTGATTGGTGGTTTGAGGCTGCGTCCGCATGGCAACCACAGCTGTGTACAAGGGCAAAAATCACTTCTGTGTTGGATCTGTGTTTTGATGCCCGCTGAGATGGATTCTACTTTGTAAATGTACATAAAACAACCTTTCATGGTGTGAGCGTGACTTGAAACGGCCCGTGGACACGTGAATGCGGCTGGTGCAGACTGACAGGTAAGCGTCTTGGCACGTTCTCTGCTGGTGGCGTGTTAGCTGTGAGCTGCAGAGCGCTGCTGCTGTAGCGTGGTAAAACGTCATTTACATCTGCCCTGAAACAGTGACAGCCAGGTTATAGCATTGTGACTTTTCCATCGGCGTCACTCTACCAAAGATTTGCGTGCGTAAAAACGTGGGTTGAGCAGTGAAGCAAACAAGGTGCGTAAAATTTCCAAATTGCGCTGAGTTTGTGTTTTTGGGCCGCAGACCCGCTGAACATCCAGTACCAGAGGTGAGGCTCGTGTCTGAGTTGCAGGGAGGAACAGGGCAGAGACAGAGCAACACCAGGGGGCAAACACCTCGTACAGATTTTGCTCTGCCCAGACAAAGACATAATGCATAATTTATAATGAATAGCACTGTATGCCTGCACTACTAGGATTGATTCCTCTAAATACACAAGAACTATAAACTATACGGATGTCAATGTTCAAATGTAATGTCTTTCAAGGTGCCTCCACTGATCTTATAATTGATTTAGACTGAATGTATTACTCAATGTTTACTTAATTAACATTGATTTGTACACACAGTGCCCAGATACTCATCACCACCACAGGCGTTATCTGAAACAGCCTAATGTAATATACACGAGAAATATTTGTGAAAAAAAACAGGTCTCATGTGACTCTTAGTCCTTGCTTGCTGAGATGTTATTTCTAATGCCAAGCAGATGTCAGTAGGTTACAGTGTAAAGCACTTACTTATGATATACTCCATCAAAAACAGCTCACTCCCAAATACTGTTAAATGATCTTTAATCTTTCTGTTTTCTAGTCAGTTCTAGATTGTAAAGTTGGACTTCTGGAATCATGACAGCAGAGGAGATCATCAACATTAAAGAGGCGGAGGTCATCAAACTCATCCTGGACTTTCTGAACTCTAGGAGGCTGCACATCAGTATGCTGGCCCTGGAGAAGGAGAGTGGCGTCATCAATGGACTCTTTTCAGACGATATGCTTTTCCTCCGGTATGACATGTTTTTATTATTATTATTCTTTATTACAAACACAAGAAATATACAATATAAATATATATTAGCACTGCATATTATTGAAAAGAAGCAATACTACATAAGTATAAAGAGGTACATTGAAGCAATATTATAATCTCTATTCCTTTACCATATGCAGACCTCAGGACACACTAAAGCATAAATAATAGCATTAGAAGAGTTTACAAATCTAGACATGAAGCTGTACTTTAATGTCAAAGTACAGCAGAAAATGAGTGTACACCACAGTTTTATTTTGGTTTTATGTTTTTCTAACTAATTCTTCTAACAAATATCTTGATATCTACAGAATCTTTCTAAACTTTTTTTTTCTTTTTTTCCATTTATCAGGCAGCTGATTTTAGATGGCCAGTGGGATGAAGTTATGCAGTTTATCCAACCTCTAGAATTAATGGAGAAATTTGACAAGAAAAGGTGAAGTATTCAAATGAAATCTACTTTAAGCTTACCTTTTGGCATCAGCTGAGTCTTGATGTCTTTGTTTATTGTGTGTTTTACAGGTTTCGGTATATAATTTATAAACAGAAGTTTTTGGAAGCGTTGTGTGTAAATAATGCCATGTCTGTTGCAGAGGATCCCCTTAATGTATGTATACATATATAATATATATAATACTTAACATTTTTGACTGGATTCAGATGACATGATAATAGCAAAGATGGATATTAGTTGGAAAACATGACAAAAATAAAACACATTTTCATCTGTTAAGGATGTGACAGTATAAAATTAATGTTTAACAGTTACTGTGAGAAGAAACATCACAGTTTAATGATCATGCACAATGACTGACAACAGAACCAATGAACAGTGAGATCCCTAATCCACTTTCATTCACACTGTCTAATAAATAACCATTTCTCTGCTATGTGACCAGTTTTATGAAATCACATTTTCTGAATGATACAGTAAAGTTAACATTGCACATCACATTTTGGTGTATATTTTTTTACTGTCTTGTATTAAAATTACTTACTTTTTGCTTCTAAAATTGTCACAAATTATTATACGTTTTGGCAAGAGTAATTTTGATATCCCTCCCATCTATCCAAAAACGTAAAGCTTTATGGACTTTTGTAACATGCTCAGAATAATTTACATTGATTTGATTGTGCAGCTGGAGCTCAGCATGCAGGAGGCAGTGAAGTGTCTCAACAGTCTTGAGGAGTTCTGTCCCACTAAAGAAGATTACAGTAAACTGTGCCTGCTGCTGACCCTCCCTCGCCTCACCCACCACGCCGAGTTTAAAGAGTGGAACCCCAGCACAGCCCGGGTGCACTGCTTTGAGGAGGCCTGTGCCATGGTGGCCGAGTTCATCCCTGCGGACAGAAAGTTGAGTGAGGCCGGATTCAGAGCCAGTGGGAACAGGCTATTCCAGCTACTTATCAAAGGCATCCTCTATGAGTGCTGTGTGGAGTTTTGTCAGGTGAAAGGTTTAATTTAATATTGTACGTGTAATAGATTTTACATTTGCATGTATGTAATATAATAGTGGCTGCTGTTTCTAAATTTTAAGTATTTCGCAGACGTCAGCTGAAGCTTTGCTACAAGAGATACTTATTTATTTGAATGCATTTTTGGAGATAAAGTATGATTTATGCCTCTGTTCATTTACACAGACAGTCAAGTTTAAGGTAATGCAAGAAAATTATTACTGCCATTATACTATGAAGGAGAACATTTAACTTCCTTCCTTCCATTTATTAGGAGAAAACCTCATCCTCCCTACTGTGCATTCTGTTAGGCTACTCCATCTTTCTCCAATTTCCAATATGTTCCGTTGCTAATTACACCCGAGCACTAAATTGCACACAGGCAATACTGACATGTTACAGCTACGGTACATTTCAAATAAGTAACATATATTTATTTTACATTATTTAGAGTAAAGCTACAGGTGAGGAGATCAGAGAGGGGGAGGTGCTTCTCGGAGTGGACTTACTTTGTGGAAATGGCTGCGATGAGTTGGATCTGTCCCTCCTGTCCTGGCTCCAGAACCTCTCCTCTGGTGTCTTTACCTGTGCGTTTGAACAGAAGACTCTGAACATTCACGTGGATAAACTGGTGAAACCCTGTAAGGCCGGCCACGCGGACCTGCTCACCCCCCTCATGAATCGCCTGTCCCCCTGTCCCACCTCACCTTTCCACCACAGACCCCATTCAGCAGATACCTACATGTCCAGGTCCCTCAACCCCGCTCTGGACGGCCTGTCACATGGTCTTGCAGCACAGGATAAGAGAGGCATGGAGGCCAATGCAAAGGCAGCCCTGAGTCGGAGCTTAGTCGAAAACCACTTTCATCAGCAGGAGGATTCACCTGAACGGTAACTGAAATTGATAGTTTTATAATATTTACTTACAATAGTTTTTGTACGTGCTCTGAATGCTGCTGTGCTCGTTCGGCTTCTCACAACTTTTTCCCCTTGTGTTTTTTATACAGCAAATAGCTGGCAAATAAACTGAATTAAACTAAACTGGCATTGCTCAGTAAACATTTTATTTATCAAGCTGCATATTTCATGGTGCAAACAAGAACATAAAAGTAGAAATCATGCCACAAAGATTGCAGATGCCATTTTAAAAATCTCACATTTTCCCAGTAATGTCTATGACTTTCTTAATGTGTAGGCTCTGGTGCCACCTGCTGGATGAATGTGTGTAAACGTTTGACTATAAAATACAGTGCGATACAATAAAAAAAAAAAAAATAATACAATGAAATAAATTATGTTAGCAGACAAATCTGCACAATATTTTTTTGATTTATGAAAATGTTAAATTAAGTTTTAATAATTGTGTGCACCAAGGCGTGACATGCAGGCTCTAGTGCCACCTGCTGGATGAATATGTGCAAATATTTTACTAAATAAAATACTGAAAACATTATAATACAATAACCAATGTACCAAAATCATTTATGTTAGGAGTACAATTGGGAACATTTGTTGTTGTTGTTGTTGCTGCTTTATCAAAATATACTTTAAATTAAATTATATTTAACTTTGATATTTGAACTTGATTTGATCTTATTTTATCTAGCTGACTGCTGTTTGAGTGCAACATTTTTATAGCTTGCTTCTACTTGCAGGAAACTTCCACAGGGCCTTGATGGTCCCAACCCAGTGCGCACTCCTCTGACCCCGGGCAAAGACGGCGGGCCGCCATGCAGCACAGAATTAAATGAGGTAATAAAAAGCTGAATTTTAAACTATGAGCTGTAAATCAGTAACAGTGAGTTCTCATGGTTTAACTGATTTACTCTTTGGTTAGCTAGGATCAGTGGGTTTCATAGCCTTTTCGTCGAATATTAAAACCTATAACCTAGCTTCTCTATCTATCTGTCCAAAGTCAATGTAAAATTTCTATTGTGCATTCACGGTTGGGGGTCAGAGCATCACATAGCATCTAAACCCCTAAAGTACCTCATCTCCATACCCCTGCTGTCCCATAAATCCTGTGCAATTCTCCAAACCCGTCCTGAATGGCGCCTGTGCCTCGCTGCCCCCTGCCCCAATAAAGGGAGGAGGAGGTCATGGACGTAGCAGGATGGTAATCTGGTTTGATGTGTACCTTGTCACCGCCAAGATGGCCGACTATTCTCATCATCGCTCACCTTTATGTGTTGTCATCGCCATCTAAAGGAACAAAGTTTTGAGACTAGATTGTTTTGTGTATGAGCTGAGATGAGAGCCTGTATATAATAGCCCTACTGAATATGATGGGGTCCTTGAGAAGTTTTTTATAGACTGCATGATGGGGAATTAGACCTTGGGAGTTAGTTGGTGTGCGGCAATAGCGACTGCTGCCAAATGAGGCTACAAGGCCTTGGATGGTATAATTTTTTTTAAAACAGATATAATGTTATTAATATCTCTTTTTCTGCAGCGCCGAGGCTCCACTGAACAGATACAAGAATACTATCGTCAGCGGCATCGTGTGCAGCAACATCTGGAGCAAAAGCAGCAGCAGAGGCAACTGTACCAACAGATGCTCTTGGAGGGAGGGGTCAAACCACAAAATGGGACTCAAAACAACCTCACAGAAACTTTCCTCAACAGGTGCACATTTGTTTAAACATGTTATAACGGTGTTCCCTTGTTCATTAATTACTTAAAGTTGCATTTTGATTTATTCAAGCAGTAATCCTGTATTGTATTTGAGGTTTGAATGCTCAGAAAATGACTTCTATCTTCGCCCACTTCTCTGTACTACTCTGTACAGAATTTAGGTGATACATACACAGTTTAGACATTTCTTGTGTTATTCAACAGTAAAAAAAAAAGACTAATATTAAGTACTTGAATTTTATTATTATTATTATTATTTATTTTTATTTTTATTTTTTTAAAGATCCTATAGTATGTAAAATTGTTGTAATGCTGTTACCTCATCAAAAACATACCTAGAGTTGTGTTTTGTTTCCTTCACACGTTTGAGTAACCCTGCATTAATAGTCTGACTACATCTCCAAAGGTCACAGTGCTCTGCTCCACCTTGTGTTGAAGAGAAGATCTAAATATGCAGGGTTTTTGTATTAAACATGTGTGAAACAAAACACAACTCCAGGTATGTTTATGATGAGGAAACAACATTAATAAACTGGATTCTGTTCTTGTGCAGATCTATTCAGAAGTTGGAGGAGATGAACGTGGGACTTGAACACAGAGGAGAGGAGGTGATGGGGCAGTTGGGGCCACAGTGGAATGGACTAGCAGGGAATGGCAGCACGCCAAGCCCCGGGACCACCCACAACCACCACACACCTGAAACTGTGCTGCCGAAAGAGAAGACCGGAGGGGTGAGCAGTAGCACCCCTTTGAAGACAGGAGGAGGCCACATCATGCCCTGCCTCAGCGAATCTCCTGTTCCTATCAGTCACAGGTATAATGCATCTTAATACATTGTCATAGCTAATGAATATTGAGTTATCTTCACAGTCCATTTTAATTCTGTCATTAAAGGTGCAGTATATTTTCTGGTATAGGGTACGCCAGCTCCTTGCCTTTCTTAGAAATATTCTAGACAAAGCTAAAGATAAAATCTACGTAAAGACATTAGTTACGTGTGTTTGTATTACTAAACCAAATACCCTGAAAAAACATTCTTTCTGTAAGAGCCAGATCTTATCTGTAATCTGACCTCGCGTCACCTGCATGTCTTGTTGAAGGTAGATAAGATTAATGCTTTAGTGTAGAACATTCTAGGCAAAGCAATCTCCATGGTCAGGTGGCAGACCATCCACCTGAAAAGTTACATAGTGCACCTTTAATTTGTTTTACAAATATAAATATTTTACCTCTAACTCAGAGTTGGTATTAACAGTGCTGAAAAGATCCGGATCCAGGATCAGTCTGGTAGCTTAGCAACTCGCCACCCGCCCCAAGAGGTATGTGTTTTAACAGTATCATCTCAACACCTTCACAGCTTCCTCTGCACCTTTGAGTAATACACTATTGTTTTCCACACAGCAAGGAAGGACCAAAGCCCATTTTGTCAGAGTGACCCAGCTGGAGGACACTCAGGCTCTGCGTGCGGTGGCCTTTAACCCCTCAGGGTCTCTGTACGCTGTGGGCTCCAACTCAAAGACACTAAGAGTCTGTGCTTACCCCGAAACAATGTTGGCAAGGTGTGGATGAATAGAATAGGTCCATGATTTATTTAAATGATCAGAACTTTATTAGGTTTTATGCAATGACATTTAATATATGCAGTTGTGGTTTCAAATACATGAGGAAAAATATCAACAGGGATAAAAGAATTAAATAATGAAGCAAGAAGACTGTAAACAAAATAACAATTTATCTCACCATCAAAGCGCTTTCATCTCAGTATATATCTGTTCCACTGCTACACTACTGAGATAGCTTTAAGTGTGATGACTATCCATTTTATCAGTATGTTTAAAAGAGAGATGTTCAAAAGCAGGATCAGTTGGTCAAAAATTTTTATTTGGTGACTTCTGTGATTTGTTTATGAGCAAGGTACTCTCTGTCCTCTGTTGTTACAGTCCGGGTGTAATCAAGCAAGCAGTGGTGCGCTTCCGGAGAAATAAACACCACAAGGGCTCCATCTACTGTGTGGCATGGAGTCACTGCGGACAGCTGTTGGCCACTGGTTCAAATGATAAATATGTCAAAGTTTTGCCTTTTAATCCTGACAACTGCAATGCAACAGGTATTTAATATCGTTTTCTTCTCATATTCTCAACTGCTTAAGGACCTCTTCACATGTTTCTCTGTCACTGTTTATATTTTATTTTTCAGGACCAGACTTGGAGTTCAGTATGCACGATGGTACCATTAGGGACCTGGCGTTTATGGAGGGTCCGGAGAGTGGGGGGTCCATCCTGATTAGTGCTGGAGCTGGAGACTGCAACATCTACACTACCGACTGTCAGAGGGGACAGGGTCTACACGCCCTCAGCGGACATACTGGTACAAACATTTCATACTTGGTCCACATAGTTAAGATGCAATTATGATTATCAGCAATTGGAAAATTAAGGGAGATAAAAAAATATGCATTAATAATGGATTTCTTTTAATATAAAACTAATAAGAACTGTATTTTCAGGTCATATTCTGACTCTGTACACGTGGGGAGGCTGGATGATTGCCTCTGGTTCCCAAGACAAGACTGTTCGATTTTGGGATCTGCGGGTGCCCAGTTGTGTCCGTGTAATTGGCACAACACTACATGGCTCAGGTAAATCAAATGATGAAAACATTTCTCTCTCAGAATGTACCGTGATGTGTGTTTGAAATGGAGATGTGTTTTTATGGTTATCTTATAACCAAAATGATTACTTTTTAAATCCACCTTTAGTGAGTCAGATTTCCTTTGTACACATTAACAGTCAATTTGCCGTGACAGTCATGTTTCTATCAGTCATATAGAGGGAAGTTGTGACCTCAAAAGATTACCACAAACTGTGGGGAGCACATGAATATTGATCAGCCTGTTATTACGCTTTCAGAAGCTTGAGAATCTGAACTAAAAGATACAAGCCATTCTAATATTTTTTTTTTATCCATGGAATTCACAATGATAGAAACTAACTAGAAGCTGAAACCCATAAATAAATTGTTAATGTTTGACATTTCATCCCTAGAAGGGACATATTAATTGTAGATATACATTCCTCAGGAAGTGCAGTTGCTTCTGTAGCAGTGGACCCCAGCGGGCGGCTGTTGGCCACTGGGCAGGAGGACAGCACCTGTATGCTGTATGACATTAAAGGGGGCCGCATAGTGCAGACGTATCGCCCCCACACCAGTGATGTCCGCTCTGTGCGCTTCTCACCGGGAGCACATCATCTCCTAACAGGCTCCTATGACAACAAAATCATCATCAGTGACCTTCAAGGTACATTTATTTATGATTTCTTTATCTATTTGAAAAGGGACATTGCACATTAATCAACATCAAACAATGTAAATGTGCCCGAGTTAAATGATTTGAGCAAATTTTCAACACATGAACTGTAGACTCCTTTGTACAAATGATGTATTCCATCATTTGTACATCTAAATCTAAAACATTTTTTTTAGATGATTTTATTGTCATCTTTTTTAGTTTGTTGTTGTGTAAAATCTAATTATACATTTTTAATTGTCAGACACACATGTCATGTATTTGATAATACTCTGTTAAGGTTTTGTATTTACTGATACATAATACTGGAGCATGTCACTACTCGTGCTATGTTTAAACATGTTACTTGTTATTTTATTCTGAACATTTGTCTGGGATTTTTCAACAATTAATAGCAGTACACTTTTAGCACTGTCAGGTAAAATTCTTCTTAAATGTTTTTAAATAGACAAATTTGTATAGTTGTAAATATATAAATAACTACAATTTTGTGGTCATGTGACAGTGACCAGAAAAAAAAAAAAATTGCCAAGCAGAGAGCCCTCCTTAAATTCTGAGTAACATAGGTGTGGTCTAAGACTTGTAAAGTCAGACATGAGCTCTTCATAACAAAAGCACTGGACTGTGTCCCAGCCGAGACACACAGGGTGGTGCAGCAGACATATGAATGTAATATTTCATAGACGTTATATGTTAATTGTTGACACTAATTCCTGTGAATCATATTTTATTTTAAATTGTCTTTTCTTCTGCTTTCTGTGACCCTCTGTCTGTAGGAGACCTAACTAAGCCCCTCCCTCAGACCTTGGCCGGGGAGCATTGGGATAAAGTGATCCAGTGTCGGTGGCACCCTCATGACAAGACCTTCCTCTCTTCGTCGGCCGATCGCACGGCTGTCCTTTGGGCTCCACCGTCTCCCTGACCTCCTACCTGAACATGTTACACACATTCAGCTGTGGGGTGTGTTTTTGATGACTTGGGTGTATGTGTGCAAACAAGTTAACTTTTACTGTTCAAATATGCATAGGAGAAGTAAATATTTCCTTGTCGTGACTTTTGCATTAAGAAAAAAATCCAGTGATTGCTCTAGAAAGTACCACCTTGGCTCATTTGTAATGTTTCATGCAGATGCAGAACATGTTCAGTGACAAAACACATTGAAGCTTATGTAGCCACAGCTCACACATTTTGTCAACAAGTGACAAAAGTAAAACATTTGAGAATTATTTAATTTTTAGCTGTTGAATAATTGATGCATTAAAGCTCAATAATTTGCTCTAATGTTACATCATGCTGTGCCTTTTAATAATTAGCTTTATTAAGCACTTTATCAGATCTGTATTTATTTTTCTATCACTTGCGCACTCTTGTTTTTACCTCATGATTAGAGTAATATTGAAAATTCCTTGACAAATTGATTAAAAAAATACCATTCAATAGATACCATTAAATATTGCTTTGTTTAGTAACTTTTTTAACATTCCCATAAGTTAAGAGGGGTGGAGGGTCTGATAACTTTTGGTCAGTAGTTGTTTTGCCTGGAATGTACCCAACTATTGCATAAGACATGCAGGTGATGGACCCTCCACAAGAAAACCTACATAGCACTTTATAAGTATATGGATATTTGAATAAAAATGCCATTTTTGTGTCTACTGTCCTGCATGATTTGCATTGAAGATGTGCAAGATTAAGGCATGTCCACATTCCTGTAATTCTGACACACTAAAAGCACAACTAAAATGAATATTTGTATTTTGATGGACTGCTAGGGTTTTCTCTGCCAATGATACACTTTAATGAATGCAAAGCAGCTAGCAATGAACAAATCTGGTTTAGTATTTTTTTGTTTCCAGTGGTCTAATGTTGTCATCTCCTGGCTCACATTGTGGTAAAATAGTTACACTGATGGAGTTGACTTGCATCTCTGGGTTCCTCATGTACACTCTGAAGTAACACGATGTCCAAAGAAATAAAAAATAATAATAATTAAAAACAAGCACAAAGATGTTCATTTCCATGGTCTCCCTATGTATTTGCAAATAGTGTTATTGTAGCTACTTTAATTTGAGTGAAAAGGAACAGTTGCCAGTTGGCAAAAAACATACAAATAATAATTAAAGGTGTTTTCGGAAAAGCAATCTGTTCAAGATGGAAAGGAGGCATTCACAAAATTTCCTAATTTATGATCCACCAATATGGAACCTTATTTGTTAAAGATTAGCCCCACAAACTTGTCATAATACTCTTAAAGCAATCACGCATTTATAATTGAATTATGTTTATTTATTCAGATGTATATTTATTTCAGATGATAGAAAACATTCAGTATTATGCCATTTCCCGTTTCATGTGTGTAGGCCCAATAATTACAGAAATATTAACCATCCGTGAACCAGATCAAAACATCTGCATTTTGATATTGTTAAAAAACAAAACAAAAACAATAACTTAAATAGTATAGAAGTCTGACCTCCATGTCACTTAAACTATAGGTCTTAGAGAATATTATGAGCTCACATGAACATAACCAATATACAGTATGTGTTTTAGCTTCCTGTTACATGGTACATTTTTGATGGCTGACAACTGAAATGATATAATATTTAGTTTTGTATTGTTAATCACTACAGCAGTAGTTTACACTAACTACAGAAAGTCATTGTAAAGCCATTTTTATTCATTAACACCAAAGTTACTGAAACATATCAACAAGCCCTCAGTTACAGATAGCCCATTTACTGACCAGACTCCAGTGGTGCTAGAATCCAATTAAGTGTTCCTTAATTCTTTGGATCTGTCTCAAGAAATTATGTGCTTTTGACCATTCAACAAAAGTGACTCAAATACTCTCATTAAGTGTCTACACAAATGCTCCACAGTAGAATAATATGCTTTATGGAAAATAAAAAGAGAAAAGTTAATAAATTCAATATCTGCTCATAACTACTGAATCAGTGTTAGTGTTGTAAATTAGGTTGAAGCTGCAGAGCTGTGCACACTGCCCTGGATCATTCAACTCTTTTGTGAGGCTGCACACAATGGGATTCAGAGGTGCAGGGTTGTAAAGAGCATACGAGTCCAGAGAGAGCCAGCGTTCGGACAGACGCCCAACTATATTACGGTATTCATCTTAACCTATCACTGCTGTGGTTGTTTGAAGTGTGCATATTTGCTGAGAGAAAATAGTAAGACAAGTATTAATATCAATACAAATCTATTTGCAAATTACTTAAGTAATTTGAAATGTGTGGATGGAATACTTTTCTATGAATCTGATTTTCAGATTTGCTTTTGGTGTTCATTTGTAGAAACTGTGGAGTGACAGAAAACCACAGTGCTGACATTTCATTTGTTGTGCAGTGGGACATGGGTTGACCGTGTAGAGAGGGGACTTATGGCCAGACAAAAGACAGGACCGCTACATAGGCAATCTCATTGTTTTACAGTCAATTTGGCATTGTTCAACATCACAGCACTACAGTGGACTAATACTTTATCACTATTCTACATCTGTATCTCAAAAATGTGTGAAAAGCACAGTTTAGCAGGTGATAGTATACTGTAAACCATAACCATAATCACAATACAAAATGTTTAATGCTCTTATGCATAATAATTATACTATATAGGCTATAGTGAGTCTATAATCCCTAAATTGATCAGGTTGGGTCCATTGGTAGTTTTCAGAGTGTAGAATGTGAAGATGTTACACTCCCAGATTGGGGGCAGGAGCCAGATTTTCCTATTGATTACATTGTCCTTTGCCATGTAATATCCATTTTAATTTCATTTCAATGACCATTTCTATGACTGACTAGACCCAAGAAATAACTATATTACAAAAAACACCCCCCCCCCCCTTAGCTTGGAATGACTGAACTTATTTGCTCTAAAAATGTGTGTCCTGTCAACAGAAGTCAAACTTTTTTTTGCTACACAGTGACACGGAAACATGCTAATACAAGTTTATTAGCCTCAAATGAATGCACATTTATGTTGAAAATGTTAAAAATGATAAATGTTAATGTTAAAAAATAGATATCCTAATTCAAATTTGTATTTTAAAAAATTAAGAAAAAAGAAAATCACAGCAGAACAATCCATCATTTTCTCCTTGTTTGGTAGCTGAGGTCGGTGTCCCTCTCAGCCTGTGCGTGATGCTCTACACATTAGCAGGAGGAGGCACTATCTGTGGTGTGGCCGCCCTGGTGCTTCTCATTGTCACTACAGCGACAGATTTCTGGATGCAGTACCGATACTCTGGCAGCTGGGCCCATCAGGGGCTGTGGAGGTTCTGTATCAACCATAAGTGCCATGGCCACACCATTACTGTAGGTGAGTGTAACTTTTTAGGGTATTATATTATGACAACTTAAAGCATGAACAAATAATAAAAAAGGTTTATAGTATATAGACTATACTGTTTGTTTGTTGTTGTTTTTTTTATCAAGAATAATCTGGGATCCAAGGTTAAAGGAGATAGGGTTTGGGTCTTACTATAAACCTGAATCTTAGTAGGTAATTAAGGGGTTATGGGGTATTGATTAAGTGATTACCAAGTCTGAATCATTCTTAGTAACTCCAAAAATAGTAACCAGGATATTAAATGAATAGTTACTGAGCCTGATTAATAAATAGGCAGTTTGTTCACTATAACTTTTTTTTTACTGCTTTATTATTATACAGTGTTTCCTGGAGAAACATGTTTGGTAAAGTTTTTCTGACTTCACAAACAGTATTATCTTTGCTCATAGCCTTCTGGGACGCCACCAGGGCCTTCATGCTGCTGGCAGTGCTGAGCTGTTTGGCTGGAGTGGTGCTTGGTCTGACTGCTTTCACCAATGGGACCAAGAACAGGAGGGTCCGCACTGGTGGGATCGCCCTTATTCTGTCAGGTGGGCTCAAAACAGTTAGATTCTGTTGTCTTTTCCATGGTAAGTGAAAGGTAAAATTTAATTATTCATTCACTTGGGTGTCAGCCTTTTCAGGCCAGTTTGTATGGAAATTGATGGAACTTATCAGCGGAAAATGTCTTATACCTTCAACATATATAATACAATTGGAATATGTTGACACATTGAAGTACCTCATCAATTTACCCTAAACTGTCACCTGGTTCTTAAATTTAAATTCATTTCACCCTTTAATCTTTTTTTTTTTTTAAATGATCTGATACCATGGAGTGATTTATCATCTCTTATGCCTCTAACTTGCTTTGTTGTTTTAACAGCATTCCTGGCACTGCTGGCTTTGGCCATCTACACTGGGGTCACAGTCACCTTCTTTGGAAAGCGCTTCTTAAATTGGAGGTTTTCATGGTCCTACATTATCGGTTGGGTAGCCATTATTTTAGCTTTTGTGGCTGGTAATCACTCTTTTCCATTTGTTTAATTCAAAAATGTTTTAAGCAGACTTTAAGTCCATATTTTCCCCTCAGGAGTATTTCAACTGTGTGCTTACCGAAGGAACACTTTGGAGCCTGCTCCTTCAAATACCATTGAGAGCTAAGAAGACTGACCCATCGGTTTGCAAGTAGCTTCCAGTGAGAATGAAAAAGGTGTTTAAAGATGCACACCATATCTAATAATAAATGTAATTTTACAAATCAGTCAGGATACATCGTGTAGCTTTTTTAATTTATCGTTCTGTGTCCTTTTAGACATCTGTTTCCTCTAGAGGGAGCTAAATGTTTTTTGACATTTGAACATACCAATGTTCAACTTTCAACATAAACTTAGTTTAAATATGGTTGGATGTAATCTTATGAATGAGAAATGGCATCATAACAAACTTAACAAGGCAGTACATACTTCAGCAATAGGTGTGAAACCACAAACAAAATGTTCATTCAAACAACTCCAAAATACTTCTCAACATTCGATTTATTTTCAACAATAACAAAGTCATCTCACAGAGACTACTTTGAATTACAAAGAATGAAAAATAAATATAGGACCATAGTAGAATTAAGGACATTGACAATCAATACAAAATTATGTACAACACTTTGAAATAGTGCAAAACCACCCACTGCACAGGTCGTCTTGAGGACAGCGGGTGTGTGCGCCCCTGTATGGGGAAATACAACTGACATTGCTGTTTATGACATATTGAGGAGAATCTCCTGAGTCTCTTCAAACAGGTCATGAAATGTATTAACCTTAAACGAAACCTTTTTATTTGTACCTGGGCAGTGTGACAGTGTTCAAAGATGAAAGGAACATTGGGAGAAGCAGGATACAGTATGAATCTGTTAACCAGGGTGGTGATTTCAGATAAAACGTGTGCTCTTTGAGTGGGGGGTCAGCCATAAACAAAAGATTTTGAAATGAAAAGGAGTAAATTATTGAACGTGGTGGGCAATGCCCCCACCCCTGAGTGAAAAAGAGTTTAAAAGATCTTAGCACCATCATATACCACAGACTGTCAGCTCTGCCATTTTGTCTCAACCAGATTTTAGATTCTGAATGGCAAAGCACATTTAAAGTGCAATGCTCCCTTGAGCTGTCCACTTTCTCTCCATCACAACCTACCACAAACGTAAAGCTCAATAAAAACAGCACATACAGATACATTATATATTATCGTGCATACAGTAAGAGGTTTTGCATATTGAAATTTTGGGACCATCTAACAGCTGTTGAGAATTTAGACCTTAAAATTGTTTTGTTTTAATTCTCACTCAAAAATGAAGAGAATTCACACACTTCTTGGTTAGTGTAAATGTGGTACAAATACATACTGGTGCTAATTTAAATACTCTTCTAGAAATGAGACCTGGTCCTCTGGAGGCCTGTTACAGGTCATAAACACAAGGTGCCGATCCCCTTCAGACAGTGCTGAAAACAGATCTCAGATCTACTTTAAAGGACCAGGGCTAAACACAGTCGTGCCTTATTGAGCAAACTCTGAAAGCTTCCTCTAAATAACTGCATTGGTGAGGCATTTTCCAGTCAAGACTGGTGGGTGGTTCTCAACATAGATTAGGTTAGACCCCATACTTTTCTAAATATAAAGGTTAGCTCCCACTAAAAATGAGAAATTTAATACTGAAACAATGGTAGACTGAGGAAGGCCAGAAATGATCATCCAGAGGATTATTACAGCTCAAGAGGCTGTTTTTAAACCAGATTTTACATTTCAGTCATTAAGAGAATAACCGGAGAGGAATACCCAGTAACCAATGTTAAAAGTCATCTTTGTGCAATCATGCAAAAGATGCACTATGTGCGTCTTTGGCGATGCATAGCACGAAATACCTGCACAGAGGTATAGCCCTATTTGATTGCATGCTTCAAACAAAGAATACAATGAGTAAGATACGAAAGTTTGTGTGTTTGCCTCTGACGTGGCACATGATGAGTTCAGAGCCGTTTGGCTTTGGTTTTAACAACACACTGCAACCAGGCAGTGAGTTTATCCATTTTGGCTTGGCTCATAAAACAAGTTGTGGCATGCCTTGTGTTTGCTGCACCTTTCAAATCACCAAACATCTTCTATTGCACAGGTGGGCAGTCTTCCTTCATTTCAGACAAGATTGTCAACAGTCTTGACTTTTCTCTTCTGTGAAAGAGACTCAAATATTCTTCTAGTTGCAAGTTAACCAATCTCTCCTTGAGTAAGCGCAGGTTATGTCTCCTGGCGATATCTAAAAAGAAAAACGAAACCCATTTAGAGTCGCATTACTCAAGTACCTTGGCAGGCAGATATGACACACCCATTACAGAAATGCAATAGATCCTTCCAATACTAGAGTAGTTCTTGTAAATAGGAATACGCCATTGATTATAACCTGTAATTCTGTATTTTACATGCCATGGTGTCAAACACACAGAAATAAACCATTACAGAATAGCACAAAGACACTTACCCACTCTGTAGTGTAAACTCAGGTAGAGCACCTAGAGATGTGAGCTGTTCCTCCAAGGCAACAATACGCATGCCTATATAGCCCGAAGACAGTAGCAGCAAAACAACCCTGTAAAAAGAGTAACTTTGGATTAGTCCATTGCCTTATTCCATTTTGTCATTTTTAGGAGAAGTTAAATACTTACAAAATCAAGTAAATGAAAAGTAAAGTGTTAAGAGTGCTGGCCTCCCTCTGAACAAACAAGGATCGAGCCTTTTCAGTCACACACCATACCCAGGACCCACCTGTCCATTCAGATATATGTGAGTCAAACATGTCCATTTGAACAGCATTTTAACATGACCTGATAAACTAGTGATTAGGACACATACTTGACACAGACAGGTCTTCTGATGAGGAGCTATCACTTGGCTCTATGTGCATGCTTCTTAGAGTGGAACCAGTCCCATTAGGCACGGTCTCTGAAATAGAAAGTTTCAACCTTAGCATATAGCACTGACTGAAATTCAAGACTTATGCATCTGTATGAAAATCCCTTACCTCTGTGGGGTCTGAAGAGAGGCTGTGCTTGAGTCTGAACATCAGAGCCGTCAAAGAGGTCAAAGCTGTCCTCCAAACTCGACTGACTAGAGTTCTATTTGAAGGGACAACATTTTACCATTAGAAATCAGTAATAAACATCAGTGTTGTAGATTTCACAAATGGTAGTTTTCTTACCACAAGTCTGCTCTTCTCAAAGCTGTTTTCAGCTGAGGAAAATATGGGGCTACTGTTTGTGCTGCCATCCTAAAAATACAAATCACAATCAGACTGAACTAATTAAAATGTAACTAGCATCTTTTTTTTTTTTGTTTCAAACTTGCCAAAATTTACCTCAATCTGAGGACAGACTGAACGTAGAAGCTGATAACATCCTTCTCTGTTACGCAGAGATACAAAAAGATACTAAAAAACAAAACAAATATGTATTAACAATTATAAACAATTAAAAGAGGGTTCTGAGACCAAAGTCAAGAAACTGACCTTGTCTCCTTCTGTAGTACGAATGGACACAGCATTAGGGACAAGCAGGGCTGTGTTTTGCTTCTTCACAATCTGGATGGAGGAAACAGGAACAACAACCTGCAAATACCACTGCTGTTAAATCAAGTTTCAAATAAGTAACGTTTAAAAAAAATAATTATGGCTGAAATGCATGCCTACCTTTGTGTCCTTCAGCAAAACAGAGGAAAAAAAGCAAACATTTTTATCTGTGATGTAGAGCCTTCCGTGGTAGGGCACTTCTTTCTGCAACGCACAGAGGTATGCTGGAAAAGTAGAGGGAAGGAATTTGTAATTAAATAAGTTGCATTTTTCTACAGGTACAAAAACCCTTACAAAACTTTTCTTACCATGTATCAAATCTTCACTTTCAGGAATATCAGGAAATAACTTGTGGAATGTCTTGTTGTGCTTTATGAAGCTCTGAAGAATAAACAAAACATTTTAAGATTTAACTTTTACTTGAACTATCTGTACAATTCCATTTTTTTTTATAAGCTTACACTTTGAGAACCAGTTCCTTCTGTCCTTTCAAAGCCTTTGCTGTCCTCATCGAATGTCTGAGACCTGTTGAAACAGAATATTTTAGAAAAGATTCCCTAGTAGCAGCAAATATATTATGCCAGGCTACACTATAACAAATCTACCAAAAGGGCTTGGATCATGTGAGAAAACACTACTATGGAGTCATGTGCGTGTCAGGACAGCAGCCTGATCAGATCTTGTGATACACTCCGATAGCCACGTCATAAGCCAATAAAAGGCGTGGATTACATTTGAAAGATTCTTGCATTTCCATCTGTTCTATTTTTAAAAAATGTGTCCTCACCTCACGGCCCCTTGTCGACTGAGGGTTTTGTGCTGTTGTTGAAGCTCGAGCTGGGCTGCCTCCAGACTTAAGGCTTTCCGGGCTTCCACCTTCTTGATGCTTCCATTACTTAGACTGCTCCGACTCTTCTTCAGTTTGGTCGGCAGTCCACCACCACTGCCCTCCACGGGGTAGCTGCTGGACACACAGAAGCAGAGTTTGGAGTTGGTAGCATTCAGAAATAAACAAAAACTTGGCTCACATTGCAATAGGCTAATTATATAACCAGTTTAACAATATGGAAACTTGACTCTCAACATTGCAACAGGCCAATTACAGAACCAATTTAACAATACACAAAACAATAATGTCTAACCGCGAAATATGAACTCATTCTTAGAAATTATAACAAAAACAAAATATGCTTTTAATAGTCAAAGTCTATAAAAAACAACTGAAAGACTACTCTGCGGACTTTCCAAACCTCTAGTTTTACAGGTCTTAGCTGCGTCAGTGTTCAAACAGCGTCTATAAGAACATCTGTTGCCTGCTTTATTACAAAATGTGTTCACAGACCTGGTTCAAACAGAGCTCAAGTTTATTTGTAGAGCACACAAATTCAAAGTGCTTCACATAACAAGAAAGGCCTATTAAGATCCCAATACCGACAAATAAAAGCAAATAACTGATATAAAATAGGTATTAAGCCATTGATATATAGCCCAATAAAGGAGGAATGATAGTCACAGGAGTTTAAAGATCATGCCCTGTCCTTGACCAAAGCCAATTCAGACCAAAAACTATAGCGCTTTTATAAAAGAATCTTACCTTGTAATTTTGAAACGCTTGGATGCACGAAAAGTTATATACCTACTAACTGTAGGCATTTCTAATTAATTGACCACAATTTGGTCTAAAGTTCTCATGCGTTAACAATCCAGAGCTTTGAAAAAAACAACCAGAGCAACTGCCTAAAAGTCCTTAGATTGCAAGAGTAACCCCACAGCGTAGTCCAAATTAGAGATAAGTTCTTTTCCACAAAGTCCCAGAGGGAAAAACTGCCGTCAGAACTCAGTGGTAATGAGGAAGCAGCTCTGGTGAAATGGTGTGACACTCCGTAGTCAGTGACGTCAAACTCAACCACTCCCCCAGAGGCAAACAGACAATACAAGAACCTTCTCTATAGGAACATGTGATAAAGGTATTTTAGACGATTATCCAACACAACTCCAACTGGATTTAGGATGAAAGAATTCAGAATCAATTAACAAGCCTGGGCTTGTCTTAACAGCTCTGAATGCATACAGCTTATTTACTCAACTGTTGGGACTAGCCTGGCAGAGGTATATGGAGGTCTAACTTAAGACAAACAAACATACACAAAATATACAAGTTTGGTTTGTTTGACTTCCTGTTGGAAAACACACCTCCTAGCACTACCGTTAGACCTACAGACCAACTTATGAAACTAGGTTAAAGGTTAACTTTAACTACAGAATTGCATTAAAACCAACTTACTCAAAAGGGAAATTCTGCTTCTCACTTCCTATAAGCTAAGAACCACAACCACCACCTCACACCTCTTTAGCAAACTTTCTTTCTCTCTCTTTTATTTTTACACATTTACTTCATACAAATAGAAAATGTGTGAGAGTTTTACATATTGTTAGCTTTGGAGTTTTAATGCAAATATCAGGCAGTCCAGATATAGCCGAAAAACAACGATAACCTCTGACCCACTTCCTTGTTCAAACAATCACTTCTGGCCCCAGACCAGATACAGTCAACTCTACAGTGAGACATTTGTCAACATGACTTCAGGCACAACACGCACATTTCACCAGCCAGGATGTCAATTATATGGATTCTGAAATATAAAAAAGAAAAGCACAATGACAGCATTCCTAGGCAACTGTGAACCTGTCGATGCAAACACTTATGCAACTCATCTGAGCGTGTTCTATCACTTATTATCAAGATTGATTTAATATCTCCACTTACATAAAACGCAGATCTCAAGCTAAAAACTATTTGCCCCACTTACCTTCCATTTGCCCAAGAGCACAAAGAACTAGCAGAAAGAACTGATCTGATTCTGTCTTTTTCCATGACTCCAAACTCTGCACAAGTCAAAGTGATCGCCAAGCAGTTTGCCTTCTGCCTTAGTCCTACTGTGATGGCTCAATACTCGTGTCTAAAGGTCCTTTTTACAGCAATATAAACCAGATCCAAGTGAAGCACAGGAACAACCAGCAAGGACTGAATTCTGTGAATGCACTCCCCGAGGTCCTAAACAATGCCCAGCCAATGGTCGCTATGGAAAAGACTCAAAGGGCCACAACAGTTGGAGGTTGGGGGTGAAAGTGGAGGAGGGTAATGGAGCCTTTGCCAGACTGTTCCTAATTCAGACTTGACAAAACCTGCAAAAAGCCTGCTCTCAATGACAAAGCAGGCACACATTAAAGCTACAATGTACATGACAAAAGACAGCACACAGTCTGCACAGACAATTAACCTAAAACCTTCAAACAATCTACTACAAGTGAACCAATAAACAAAGTATGTGCAACAAAGGAGCTACTTGCTTTATTTGCAAGTGAGTAATTTAAGTGGAATATCAAATTTCATAACTCAACGCTTTAATGTCAGTGATGCATTATTTTGTTGTAAAGGAGTGCCACTTTTTACGTCAATTTTTACGTCACTGCTCCCAAGAATGGATCTCTTAATGGCTTACTTTCTTTGTAGTTCCAAACAATAACATTGAATGATTCAGAAGTGATGTTACGATTTGACCTGCCAGCACCATCTAGTGGGTACTTATAGACATTGTTTGCTTCAGAGCCAATCTTTAGTCTGTAAAAGCCTAATGTATATGGTATGGTTTGGAGCAAAGCAAGGATTTAGAAAGAAGAACTTTTACCTTTTAGTTCTGATTGGCAATTAAACATCTCTCGTTTATATTTTAATATGACAAAATAAGACTTATTTAAATGGAAAACCGTGATTAATCAATAATGAGAGAAAAAACATGTAACTGTTATAGTTAAATTTGAATGACACCAACAAGCATCTAATAGTAGTATCTAACAGCCCGTGTGGGAAGTCACAAGACCAGAGCACTTCCTCTGACTGTACAGACAGAGAGGTCTTTGAGCATTTAAAAGACCACAGCAAGCGGGCATGTGAGCGCCCAATGGAAACATCTCACCTGACCAAGGCCAAGTAGGGCATGGGGATGTACCCAGACTAATACAAAGAAACTAAACAATTTTAAATGCCAACAAGAATAACTGGGGAATGTATGCAACCTAGTTTGACCACTCAGGTGAAAATAAAAATATTCATGGTGATTACTATGTTTATTAATAAAACATGAATTGTATTTTGAGCTTCAAAATTTGTCATGTGGACATTTTATTTGCACTAGTGGGGAATGGTAATATACATTTCAGGAAGATAAGTACAACACAGTCTTTTAATCACTGTCATTTAACACAAAGAGTCTGACCTCTGCTCCAAACCATGCGCTTTTACTGACAGAGGATTTCATGTAGACTTCTCAATTAAAACGACCTAAGTTAATCATTGACTCTCAATTCAAATTAAACTTCAACTGCATCAGTGTTGTTAAAATATTGGATTTTCTTTATGCTATGACATACAAGGCTTTTCTATCCTTGTTTATTACATTTTTTTCCCCAACAAAAATACGACCGGCAGAGATATGGAATTTATCAATGTATTGTGAAAACGTTACAAACAGGATATTTTTCTACAGATGATGGAAAGCTCAAAGTGGAAAAGCCATTAACACTTATCTGACAGAGGCATCATACAAACTCAACTTTGACTACCTGTTTTAAAGCAACTCTTCAATTACCCACAAGCCCAGCAGAATGTGGGTTTCTGTGTCCAAATTCAAGACTGTTCCTGGCTCTGGTCCTTTGGGGAGACCTCAACAGATGCTTATTACCACCACAGCATCTTTCAGGAACAGCCACCATTAAGGCAACCACACCCAGACTATTCCAGGATCTGCAAAACCAACAGGCCATCCACGCACTCAAGGAAGTTCAAATGATGTTGGCTCTTTTAAACACTTCTGGGACATAGCCAGTTTCTTTATTCAAAGTAACCAAAAAAAAAGAAAAACATCCTATAATTGCAGGGCAGAACGATTTGAGTAAAATATCCAATTGCAATGTTTCCGACAAGCGTTGCGTACAGGTGAATTGTCAAAAAGACTGACATATTAAGTGACAAACTAATATAACAATCATTCATCAATCACATTTCAGAACATGTTTGTACAGACATAATCCACAGGGCTAGCCGTTTTTATGTAGTATAAGACAGGATATTTTGTTGTTTGTGAAGGAAATCATGGTATAAAAAATGGCAGCCTTTGTACTTTGCATCTTTTCAAATTGTGATTTCGATTCAATTGTAATCAGTGGAGCAGCCTTAATACAAAATAGAACTATTATGGTCAGGTCAACACCCACAAAATTGTTGTGGCATTAGATGGTCACGCCACTCAACATGCCATTCTGTAAAGCTCATAGCACATAGCTACTGTGAGAGCCAGAAGTCAATATCAAATGTCTATCTACAGGAAGGCAAGTGAAAGGCAGCACCCATGAAGACATAGACACATGGGTGCCTTTATGCAACACACTATACCACACTGTAGGTGACTCACACATCCTAAAAATAGGACTTTCTAGGAAATCACACACTTGCAAGTCCTATATGGCAATCCTCTTCAATTACCAACAAATACAACAGAGAGGAACTTTCACTTATAAAAGCAATATAAGTAGAGTCATTAATAAATTAACATCCAACATTTGGTTTTGCTACTCATTAACTTAAAACTTTTAAAAGGTCAAATAGACTTAGAGGCTTACAAATAACTACAGGCAAGTCTTTGTATCTGTGTTTTGTGTTTATCAAGTTACAAACAGGTGACATCATGTACACTTTGAATAGATTTCAAAGAAAGTGTGTTACAGAGATGAGAGATGATAGATGATATATGATAGATGATAGATTATCGAGCTGATCCCAGGCTCTAATGTGCCTCATCAGGGACAGGTGCTGAGCTCATACACAGCTGATGAGTGAGACGTGGAGGTCAAGTTCAAACACAGCAGGAGCAGCACACTGTGTCTGAAGTGTGAAGTGTAACCCGATTCACACACACTCTCAGATTCTTATGTTCTCTACTGATTTAGTACTCTTTGCGTAGCGAATAGTACAGAATGTGACCAGACAGATAAGGCCACCCCTGACAACACGACAGCTAACGGGACAGCTAGCATGCTAGCTACAGCTGCAAGACAAGGCTAGAAACATTTAACTAGCACTATAGATGCCGGAATAGATATTCGTGTTACAGCTTAGTTACATCATAAAATCACATCAGAATATAGTCAACAATGTCCTGGTTGTCACCATCACTGTATTACTATGATCCCTCTAATGATGCTCTCCGGGAGATAACGGTACAGCCTGGTTAGCTAGCTACATTCATTGACTCACCCCTCTTTCATGAAATGCTTGATTCTGACGATGGCCTTCTCGTCGATCTTCTTCAGGAAGGTTTTTAATCTTTCTCTCTTGTTTTCAAGCATCCTTTCCTCGCCCAGTGGTGGTTGTTTCGTGTTACAACCACGCTCCACGCCAAACTCCGCCGATCTTGTTTAGCTTGTGCTTTCTTTTCTCGCTTCATCCACGGCTGATTAAGATAATGAGCCTAAATCGGACCAAGGCTCACAGCCAATCAGAGCAAGGGACGGATGTGAAAAAATGGTCATGTCAGGTCAGATCCTCCAATCAGGGCGCGGAGGCTGAGCTGTTAGGACCGTCCACCACCATATATGGTGTGTGGGTCGTACCACTATCAGATGATCGGAAGGCTGTAGCACAGTCTATGGGCTGTAGTAGAGCAGATCACTTATAATGATTTACATGCAACTTCAATACATGTGCGAGTAGAACAACAAACACAAGAACTTGGTGTCAGAATACTAGTAGGCTATGCAAAGATCAGGGAGGCTCGTTTAATGGAGGCAATTGTCTGATAACGATGTTAAAATATTGTACTAGGAGAACTGAAATATCAGCTTGCATTCATGTACAAAGGGCAGACAGGCCAACTGTATGGTTGGTTGTTAAGGCTGTTGTAAAGACCTTCAATTACAACACACGGCCTGTTGTAATTTCCCAGCATAGCATAGAGCAAGTGAAATAACCCACCCCCCATTCAAGAAGACAACAACTGTGGGAGCAAATGGCAAGGTGGTGGTGCATGCCTGTGCAAATAAATGTCAGCTGACAAAATGAAAGACCAGTGAAACTTTTGTACACACAGAAGAGTTTATAGCACATTGCATTCACAGAAGCTTGAACAGAGAAAGAGAGCATAACATGGAGGCTATAAAATTCATGCAAACTAAGTGTCCTAAAAGCCTTATTTTTTATGCCAGTCAGCTGTAGCGTCACCAACCACCACACGCACTGGGAACAGAAGGAGCACTGTTACTGCAGGCACATGACACAGCATACACCCGCACACAAGCTGTCCTACGCAGTCTACCCTACAGTCTTCCCTGCTCCCACCTTTGCCAAGATAATGTCCACCTCATCGACGTAATTAGGCCTACGTTTATGTGAGGAGGTGTGAATGTTTGGCAGACGAGTTTAGGTCTATGTATGGGTTTTCATCCTCTTATTGTGGGAGGAAAGTGTGGTCATGGCAAAGACTACAGCAAAATGATAGAATGAAATACATCATCTTGTCCTTAACAGTCTTGAACTATATGTTAACTATTGCATTATATTAAAAATAGCGCGGGCTGGCCTGGCATCTGCTTGCAAATTACTCATAGGTGTTGGTGTTAGTGTGAGTCTGTCTCTTATGTGTCTGTTTTTACACCTAGAATCACATAACCAGGACAACCCCCACAAATAGAATGCATGTGTAATTAAGGAATAAACAAATAGTTCTGAGAAAATTAAATAACCCACAAAATAACATCTTGAAGACTATGTGGAGTAAGTGTGATGTGTTTCTAGTGAATGGCCACTAGTATCAGATAACCTCTGCCTCATTGTCAGTCCATTATCTACTCTGACTTTTATAACAACTGGCTGGAGTAAACATTACAACCTTGGAGCCTGCAACACCTTCGCCTGGAAAAAGCACTGACAGCTGCAGCCACGTCCTACGTACCACATAGTACAGGGTTGGGCATTATGTTTTTAAAGGTTCTATATTACATCAAATAGATTGGTTTTATAATGCTGTTACCTCCAAAAAATATAGCTGGAGTTGTGCTTTGTTTCATTCACCGATGTTTGAGTAATCCTGTATTATTAACTCAAAATGCTCTGTTCCACCTTGTCATGTATGTATGCCATGATGTCATGTAGGTGTATTTTTCAAGATAACAGCTACACTTCATCTTTAGTTCAGCTGAAATTATCCAAATTATTCTAGTGAATGAGTATGTAGTTTAAAAACACAGTGGAGCACTTCCTGCATTACAACATGTCATCACAAGGTGGAACAGAGTGTTTTCTGAAAACAAACAATGAAACAAAACACAACTCCGGGTATATGTGTGATGAGGAAACAACATATAACAGGTCAGAAAAAAGCATAACAATTTTGTGGATACCTCAGCTCAAGATGATGTGTATTATCGGAAAGCAAAAACGTTTCTTACTGAATCTTCTGTTGCTGAATATATATGAACTTTAAAACCTCAGAGGAGCACGTCTTGGGTCACTTTCACCTGTGCTTGTGCATTTTTTTTTATTACTAAAACCTAAAACCTTAAGTTATATTAGCACATAGAAGTTATAATTCGTTTCAGTTCATCACCATAAAGGCAAAACTGACTGGTTTCAAACTTGTTGATCCTCAATGAAAATTATCTTGTTTACTAAGTGAAACAGCATACAATAAAACAGCCTGAGCCCACAATAAGTCCTTTCTTAACAGCTACTACTATAACCTATTTTAATTTTTTACCACTTAAAAATTCCCAGTTGGAATTTTTATTTTAGTGGGAAATTCCACTACACAAATAGGCTGGACACTGTTCTGTGCTGAGACAACAAAACATCCAAACAGCTATGTGATCAATCCATCACATGAGACACATCAAATTCTTCATGCTGGGGAAACTAACCAACTGAGGAAAATTGGAACTATTGATTTGTTCTTCCCAGAAAAAAATACAAGAATGTGGCAATGTCACATGTTTTTCAAATACACGTCATGATCAGGTGAGTTTTTCAGTTTATTTGTCAGTAGGGTGACTACTTCCAATTATAGAAAAAATGGGACAAATGTGGTGGGACTAGGAGTAATGGACTTGGAAAATGTAAGGATATAAATAACTGCCAAAATGTCATGTGATCTTCAGCTTGTATGCGTCGTAACACACAGAGAGAAATTGGAATAACAATAAGTCTCAATATATTACAACCTGAAAGCCAGTAAAAAGTAGCTTAGAAAATAATGGAAAAAAAAAAGAAGTTATCATGTTTGATATGTAAATCGAACTTTAAAATTGAATTCTTGTGGCACAAATTCACAAGAGACATTTTCTACATATGTTACAAGAAGAACAGAGATCTAAACGGCTATACACAAGACAACCAAGAGGGACAGGTGGTGCCCTAATTATGTGACACCTAATTCCAGGAAACCCATCTTTTTCATTATTCTGTCTGAAAATTACGACAGCAATGAGCCTGCCTGAATAAATAACCTGTTAACCTGCCTACACATGGCATCTGTTTGTGCACTTTCAGGTCAAAAAGGTCAGTGCCTCACCAAGAACTCACCTCCACCCACCTACACCCTATACAGTCCCATTTAATAAGCCAGTAATGGGGGATGGGGCACCTTACAGTATACCTCAACATATCAGTTTACCTTATAGTTGTTAACTTATTTTCTAAACGTATTATTTTGTATTGAGTGTAAAGTTCCGTAACAGGTCCAAATGTCCAACCCCGAGACAGATAGACAGACAGAATGGTTCAGCTGTGTCATGATCACCAGATGCTTTTATCTAATGTGTGTTTGTATTGTCTCAGGTGTAACACATACAACCTGAACTAAAGAAGTATTGGGTTTCTACCTGACAGGGCAGGCTGGCCTCTTCCAGCTACTGTTACTGGGCCGCTCTCATCACTAATTCATGTGTTGAGCTCTCGATGGGTAGCTGGTTGAGTCGGAGGGACAGACATCACCGTTCTAACAGTGAGAAGAAGCCCAGTTCAGAAGAAGACCCCCTCACCTGTGTTGTGGCCCATGCAGAACGGGGATCCGATGAGCCCGCAGGAGACAAAGCCAGCTGGGGCCATGGATGATCACAAGGCCCATACCCCCAACGTGGAGCCCTCTGCCCCGCCACTGCCTCCCCCCTCGCCGCCTCCACCGGGACCACCGGACTACCCCAGGCCCAGGCTCATCTTCCACACACAGCTGGCACATGGCAGTCCCACAGGGCGCATCCACGGGTTCACCAATGTCAAGGAACTGTACGCCAAGATAGCAGAGGTCTTCAATATTTCACCATCAGAGGTACAAAACAAGTCAGCTGGTGTGGGTTAGGCAAGTGTGGAAGAAGTACTTAAGTCAAAAGTAAAAATATTACGTGAAAAATCTATTGAAGTTAAAGTATTAAAGTACCTGTTTAAAAATACACTTAAAGAATGAAAAGGAAAAGTATTTTGCAGCGATTTTGAGATCTAATAAAGCTTCAAATGTAGTGATTTTGATAAAGATTTGGTCTGAATTTTGTTCAGAAGAAACTGTAAAATTTATTGTTTTTACTAGCAATTTTTATTTGCATATTTCTATTTGCTCAGACTGTGGATGTGTTAAAACTAAACCCCGTAGTCTTCACAGCAGGTCTCAAACAATAATAAAAAATGCTTCTACTTTTCAGTCCAGTTCAAAAATGCGTAGACCTGTCCCAATTGACTGGCAAGTATTGAGATTGTGATTAGACTTGCGAAAGGATATTTTGTTTTTTGCAAATAATTGCAGCCTGCATGATATTGTGCTGAATTTATTCTACTGGTTCAGTGGGTGAGGTCTTTTGTTTTGTTTCTGGTTGAAGGAAGTAAATATAGTATATCAATATATATGAGTATATATTTAATGGAAAAAAGACAAAATATTTGGCTACTTCTTGAAATTAACTAATTTGGGAAATGACATAGTTTTCCATTATTATTTCACGAGTCATTACAGAATTTACAAAATGTCATCAGCCAACACATGACCATGATTACAACAGCACTTCTCAGAACTTACTCATCTTTGTGGATGTGGAGTAGCTCATAAAAACGTTGGTTAAATATTAAGGAAAAACATGTTTAAACATCCTCATTTATAGTTTTATAGTATTTTACCTTCAACAGAAACTGGAAAGGGAAGAACAGTAACAAAAAACAATCAAATTTAACTGTAAAAGTTATTTCTTTATTTATTATTTCCTTGTAGTTGTGTATTTAAGTTTCTGCAGTTGTGGCATGACTCTAGGCAACAGAACAATAAATATTTGACAGTGGCCTTATTCACTTATCTTTTCTGAAGGACATCTTGAGACTTTTTATCAGTAGGCAACACAAAGCCTACTCAACATAAATGAAAGTGATATGGAATTGATATATCACTGTTTAGCAATCTGTGTTTATAGTACTGAATAATAGTATGGACATGGATATCAGGATAATTAGTATATTTACATAAAAAGACTGAAATAGAAAAAGACATTTAAAAAATGTATTACTAGTAGGCATATTCAAAAGAATACAGCAATGCAGGCTATGCTGCATCTGTAGATCACATCAACGAAGACCTTGAACTCTGACTGTGAGCCAGATAACAGCTGGAGAATAACACGTTTTCATTATCAACCTCAGATTACAAGTCATTTCATTAATAAAAAGCTAATAGACTTGTATTCTATACATTATTTTATTACAGTATTCAAAATACTGTAGGCATATACAATTATATGTAAATATAAGCATTTCAACAAAATGGTTGCTTGGAGTGTTGCAGAATACTACTGCCCTCTACTGGTTAGTAAATAGAACTACAAACAAGTAAAAGCACCTTTTTTTTCAGCTATAGAAATGGTAGCCTAAAAAAATTACAAAGGAGTAGTGTTTTTTTGTTTTTTTTTACTTAGCCTAAGCTTTTTTCTGTTTTACTCACTATATGATTTATAGATTTAATACATATACTTTTCAGATTTTGTTTTGCACCCTCAACTCTCACAAAGTGGACATGCAGAAGCTTCTGGGCGGCCAGATTGGACTAGAAGATTTCATCTTTGCTCATGTTCGAGGGGAAACTAAAGAAGTGGAGGTCACTAAAACAGAAGACGCATTGGGGCTCACCATCACAGACAATGGAGCGGGCTATGCCTTTATCAAGGTAAATGAGACCTCTAATCCAGACACCATTTTAAAAGTAGTCGCTATCTTTGAAGATGCTGAAATCCCTGTGTTGATCTTTCAGAGAATAAAGGAGGGCAGCACCATAGATCGACTGAAGACTGTGTGTGTAGGTGACCACATTGAGGCTATCAATGACCAGAGCATTGTGGGATGTCGGCACTATGAGGTGGCCAAGATGCTGAAAGAGCAGCCCAGAGGGACGCCCTTCACCCTCCGGCTGGTTGAACCCAAGAAGGCTTTTGGTGAGTGCAAACTGCAAAAGACTTCAAAAACACACTACTTCATATGTTTCTGTTTAACCTCTATACCACGTCAACAGTTTTCCATGCTTCATAGTACACATTAAATAGAACAGATGACCTTTGCATGCAAAACCAGTGTACAATTTTAAAAACAGACAATTTTGACTACTATTGAAGTCTAAGCTGTACAGGTATGTGTAACATGGTGTAAAATGAAGTAGCTGATGAACTGCTGAGTACATCTATAAGGTTACATTTTGGTTTTGATCATGATATGAAAGTAGTTTTATTACTATATGGTTTCCTCTATGTGCCCTTGTTAGAGTAAGATAAGATAAAGTGCAGACTTCAAGGACATAGTCTTTGAATGCTATAAATAAAATGTGATATTTCGACAAACTAAACCAATCTGTTCCTAACAATAAAAAAAGCCCACATTTATGTTACTCACCTTTACTGGAGTTAATTTAAAAGTTAATGTTACATCTTTAGTTTGCTCCTAGAAACTGTCTGACCTTAAATTACAGAATAATTAATTGCAGAACTAGACTTTTTTCTAAATGAAACAATCAACACATAATAGCCGGAAAAAAACTGCCAACAATTAGAAAACTGCCCATTTGCAATTTAGTGTCTGGCAAAGTCATTACACTAGCTGTTATTTATGAACTCAAGTCTTAGTGATGTCTTCTCGGCTCAAACTGAAGTGGTCTGTGTATGTTTTGCCAAGTACGGGCAATGGATGGGTCAGCTAAAACTGATATTGTATTGGAAAAACAGCAAGATGCTTTGTTTAAAATGGAGTACTGGTAACTGTGGCATTGTCTAATATCCAACCTCCAAAACTTAAATATTTATCCAAGATGTTCCATAGTTCATATTTGTCTCTCTTCTCTTTCTGCAAGCTCAAACACTGATTGTTTACCTGGGGAAGTGAAAAGTTCCAGAGTTGTTTTATTAGTTTAAAATAACTCCGTAGGATGAAATACATAGCGTGCAGTGGAGAACCTTAAACGGATAACTTCTTCTTACACAAGCAATGACCATAACCTCTTTTCAGGGACAGTGTTATCAGAGCTGAGCCTTGCCCTTTTCCGTTGTGTTATTGCATGTGTTTTTACTGTAACCAGTGACTGTTATTATGGAAGGAAGTACACAGACAAGTTTGGTGAAAACACAGGAAATAAGAACTTTATACATTAAAATTTTGGACCTAACTAATGACAAACAATAATTTATTTGTGAACGCTTATTTAGAGCAGTCTCCCATCTCTCCACATTTTAATAATTGCCTAGGGATTTAAAAATATCCATAACTGGTGAACAGCTAAGTAACCTTTGACCTCTTGCTGCATCATTTCCTTTATGGAATTATTGGTGGAATTTCCAAACCAAACAGCTGTTAATTTTCAAAGTTTACAATACACGCACTGTGTCAACATGGCTAAGCATTTATTTATTATATATCGATTGGCTAATATAGTGGGGTGATAGTTTGACTTTTTAGCATATCGGCTATCAGCTTTGAATCTCCAGCACAGGCTGTTTTGGTCAATTTTCTATATAAAAACACACACAAAGCTTTATTTAAACACTTTAATAAGAAGAGAAAACTGTACAAAATGTGACAACACAGATCCAGTATGTGTTTGTGGTAAAAAAAAAAAAAAATCGGCTTATCAGCTATAGGTTGCTCTGGATCCTAAACAATCGGTATCAATATCGACCATGAAAAATATCGGTTGATCTCTAATCTTGAGAGGTAGATTTGGAAAAACAATAGAGGAAAAAATGCAAGTAGTGTAACAAACCCTCAGTACAGCTTTAAATATGTATTATTGATGTATAGCTGTAGCAGTAATGGACAAGTAACTTTGTTGTACATTTGTGGTGCTTTTAACAGCTTGACAATATTGTTGGCCTACACAGAGGCCGGTCATGATAACCAATTTTCAAACATGACGTATTGCTACAGAGAAATATCATGACAAATGGTAATATTGAAACTACTTCATGCCACTGACACAAAAAAAAATAAAGCAAATAATCCCAGTAAATCATTTTTTAAAATACCATCATTGAAAAGCAGAGTAGAATGAAAAGAAAAATTGTCTGGAAGTGACTTTTTCAACCCTTTACAGCTCAGATCATTTTGTATTCCATAAAAATAGTAGAAACCTCTGCACTATCGCAACAAAAATATGCATACTGTTTGAGCTTTAACATACTGAACTAAGATATAGTATATACTAACAAAAGTAATTATCATGACAGGTCTACATCTTCTTAGCAGTAGTCAGTGTTGGATATTTACTTCTTATTGATTAAATGTTCTTTTCAACAATACCAAAATTAAATTGCAATGATTGTCTGTTTCCAAATAACAACCCTTGTTCATGTGCCTGTAGATATGATCGGCATGAGAACTAAAGCCCCCAAGTCTAGTGAAGGCAAGATGGTGAATGGGAAGGAGACGCTGCGCTTAAGGTCTAAGGGAGCAGCCACAGTTCAGGAAGTGGTACGTTTCCTCCAGACAATGTACTTTTAGTTTATCGCACAGTTACACATCCTTAAACTGCTTTTGAATGGACCATTAGGCGAAGAAACACATCCGCCATTTTGGATCTGTCCTAAACTGAACTAAACACCTCCACTTGACTACTGGAAAACTTGAACTATCCTCACATGCTACATCTCGCTTCAGATTTCAATGAATAATGTAAGACGTACAGAATTTCACCTTGACAAACCCAAGGCAAACAGCCCAGCAGCACTCATAGCACATAAAACAGAATTCAAATAGAACTCAATAGACGTAATGCAGGATGATTACACAACCAGAGAATGAAATATTTACTAAATGTGGCCAGTGGATAAATAGGAGGTGTTGTAATAAATTTGGCTGAAGGAGACACTGGAATGGTCATGTTTTGTCTCCATATATGGACCACAAGTGTTTTAACATATTTGTTATTCGCTTCCCAGCAGAATGAGTTTGAGGAACAGGCTACCAAAAAAGTGGATGACCTATTGGAGAGCTACATGGGAATACGAGATGTGGAGCTGGGTAAGGGCACACGTACTAACTGTGCTTTAAAGGAGAGGTGATCAGTGCAAACAGTGCTTCAATAGCTCCAGCTGATATATATGGTAGCAGTAGTTGTCATAAAACTCTGTGAAAATAGTAACAGTTGAAGTTAAAGACAAGTAGTATTTTAATTTTGTGTATTCATCATTTGTACTTGAATATATTTTCCTTTTGTCAAGTAGATAGTTGAAAGTCTTTGTGTGTTTATAGCTTCCCGAGGGACTACAATAGTGCACGCACAATGTAAACAGAAAACCTGAACAACAAACACATCAGGTCACAGCTGTAGTATCACTTTACTTCAGCCTGTCAGTGTTGATACAATACAGTGCTTATAAAGTGCCTCTCAAATCCTTAATATTTTTAAAAAGGACAACAAGAGTGGAAAATTAAAGAAGAAAGCAAACAAACAAATTTAAAAAAGGATGTAATTCACAATAGTGGTAGGATAAAAGCTGGAATAATTTATCTATTTATCATATATAACTCAAATATTTATAAATTCAAATAATTATTCATCCTTGTCTACTTTTCAACATGATGAAAATCTTGGAGTTCAATAAGAAATAAGTTGTTTTTTTTCATAGGCACTGCAATTTACTAACAATAAACAGAAAAGTCAGAGATGTTCATTTTGTCTTCTTATGTACTTTAACTTCTTACAGTAAAGTGTATTTACCTTGTTGACATGTTTCGGCTGCTGCTGCAAACCATCTTCAGAACTGTCACCCCTTCCTGTAGACGTGGTCAGCCCGATGGACCTGGCAGGTCGCTCAGACTGACCACGTCTCCTGTCGCCCGGTGTTCTCTGGAGGAGGGCGTCCTGGGTGGGTGAAAGGAGGAACGCTCCATCATCACAGTTAATGCTGTCCGTGCTTCGTTTCCTGATTTCAACGGCCTCTCTGATCCAGCGTTTGAACTTGTTGTTTTGCGATCCAATGACCCGAGCCTTGTCCCAGTCCATAATATGGTTATTTATGGGGTGACAGTTCTGAAGGTGGCTTGCAGCAGCAGCCGAACCATGTCAACAAGGTAAATACACTTTACTGTATTGTCTTTAAAATGAACCCAAGAAATTATAATAAACAGAAGAGGTTTAGACTGAGCTAGAGAGCAGGTTCCAGTATTATTTTTTTGCAAACTCTTATGACATTTTGACCTGGTTCATAATATATTTTCAAGTCCAATCCACATGAAATAAATATTTTTTAATGTTTTGTTTTTTATTTTAAATGTGATTAAATTGTAGAATGTAAACTCAGTTTACTCTCACACATTCTGTCTCCATAGCTACAACTATTGTTGAAGCTGGAAAAGACAAGAAGAACCCCGATGACTTTGCAGAGGCCCTAGACTCTGTGCTGGGTGATTTTGCGTTCCCAGATGTCTTCCTTTTTGATGTATGGGGAGCTATTGGGGATGTGAAAAATGGCAGAATCTAAACAAATATTTGAGTGACGCATTTGGGTTGATCCACTTGAGATTGTAAAATGTATATATCAAATCCCTGCAGCTCTTAATGCTCATGACTCCTGTTCACTGTTTCAACAATGCTTTACACCCAAACAGGAACCCAGCCCATGACTTCCTACGAAAATTAGTAAACAACAAAGCCATTTGTCTGCTTTTTTGCTACTTTAATGTACCTTATATCCTGACACTAATTTCTTTTGTTTTCAATTTTTTGCCATGAGAACATTTTGTCCCTCGTTTTTGACGAAGCCTTGAAATGATGTAAATAAAATATGTGACACCTGCAAAAATGTGTTTGCTGTGTTGCTGAATAATAAATAACCAAATATGATTCATTTAAGGACTTTATTCACAATGTGCTGTAACTACGGTCCACAGACAGAAGGCTAAAAGTCAAAACATCTGACAATAAGTTGCTGTATGATGATAAATACAAATAGCATGCTTTCAAATAAAATCTGATTTCTGTTCATGAACTGGATGTCAGTAAAGAAAATATGGTGGTCTATTAAGAGTATTTTACACTTTGAGCCTTTGCCTGATTGAAGTAGCATTTATACAAAATACATAAACTGCTTTAAAGTTCAAAATGAGGTACTTCTCACATTATTTTATCTAGACAGTGGACAAAACGTCTTACTCAAACCCTTGCTATCATACCACAAATTATATCCAACCTCTACATTAACGTCATACTATACATACATACATATAAAGTACTGTAAAGCAGCTGATAAATACTTCAAATGTGCCCTATATCATTTTTCAGGGGTATTTTCTGAGAGTATGCCATCTGCTTGTTTCTTTACCTGTTGTTGCTTTTGCTGGAATGTTCCACAGTAAGGCATTAATGTATCTATCTTGGATTTTTTCAGTGTAGGTATATTTATTGCTTAAAAATACCTTAATAAAAATACATTCTTATTGGGAGTGACGTCACCTCTCCACAGATCTATTTTGACCTAGTGGTGTCACCTTCTTCTCTCTATGGAGACATAAGTTTAATGTCATACATTCTAAGCAAAGATGGACCCTCTTCTACAGAAATGTTACAAAGTGCACCCTTTTACAAAAAGAAAGAAAAGTAAACATTAGCAACACTGAGTCATACAGGGCACTGGAACAAATGTACATGACACGTGATGTTTTTTCATTCAAATGTCAACTGCAGTATCCTAATCCTAAATCCATGTAACTGATGCAAATACAGTCCTACTATAGTGTATTATTTTGAAACATTGCTATGACAAAGACTTACAGACATTTCAGACCTTTCTAAATTATAATTCAGCCTAACCTTGTGTAGAATCTAGGGTCTTCATTTGAGTAACTGTTGCATGTGAGCCATTGGTTTTGGCTGCTCCCTCCTGCTCGTCTCTAGATGAAGATCTGGCAAGTCGGCGGATAGTGCTGCTCAGAGACGGGTACAGTGTCAGAATGGAACGTCTGGACCAGTGGAAGTTGGGATAGATCCTCTTAAGTACCGCTCTTCGGAAAAGGATGTAGACCCAGGGATCGAGGATCTGGTTCCACGTGGCAAAGCGAAGCCACAGCAGCAGGTACTTGATCTGCAGCAGGCTGCCAGACAGTACAGTCTGCGCAACAAAGACCTAATGGAGAAGGAAGAAAGACAGTAAGGGGAGAAAGGAAAATATGGGGAATGGAGTTGGAATTCGAAGGAATGGATGATTGGAGAAATAAGGAAAGGATAAGCAGGAAGTGGATTAAAACAGAAAGCAGAAACAATGAGAGGAAGGAAAAAAAGAGAGAGGGTTATTGGGTTATTATCATTCATCTCATCTGCTTTGCCATCTTCCCAAAACAACTGCCTATACCTGTTTTAGGATGATGGGAAAAATTAGAGAACCATGAGGTATGATGAACATGCAAACTCTACTTTAAAAGGCAACACATTGGAGGAATCTGACCCGGAACCTCAAAATAATGTTTTTAATAATTTTGTTAGTGAAATCCCTCAGTCGTCCAGGGGGAATCCATAACAAAGGAGAAATTCAATTTGTCAAATGGACACAAGTTTTTTGATCGAATATGTTTCGCATATCATTAAAGCTGCTTCTTCAGTTCTGGTCAGATTGCTGGAGGACACGGCCTTATACTGTATCTCCCTGAAGGGAGGAGCTAGTTAGTGTAGTTAGCTCCTCCCGAAAGTTATTAAGTCAAAAAATTTCCAATTGACAGGAATTAATTTCTGCTTTGCTATTTTCAATCATTTGTTTATTTATGGTTATATTTGATCAAGTCTCTGACCTTTAACATGTGAGCAAAGCATATAAACATTTTTCAAGGGGCAGAGAAAAAAAATGTATTTGGACTGTTAATTCATTGCAAAATCATAGAATTTTATGTCTTTTGCTTATTGCAACCACTTCTCTGCATCCCAAAAAGTGTTTGTTCCAATCAAACAGCTTACACACTGTTTGATCACTGTTAGCATTTTGTGATGAGAAACCATTCGGGTTAGTTCAATGGAATGACAACATAATCAAATCAATAGACAACATACAAGTGTCTATTAATTGATTTCAGTGGGATGAAGTGCTGTATGAATGCACCAAGCAAGCACTCCAGTGAGCTCAAGTTAACAAAGCTGCATGATGAGACTTCAGTAGTTGGCAGTTGTTCAATGTTAGGAGCCAGCCAATCACAGCTCACAGCCACGAGTGATGACACTACATAGTGAACCCAATGCACTCGCCTCAGCTTGGCCCACTGACACATGATGTAAATCCAGGGGTCCAGAATCTGATTGCAGGTGGCCATTCGGATGTAGAACAATAATTTTTCTCCAGATACAGGATTCCCAGTTACAGCACTCACCAAAGTATCGCCCTGAGTCACAAGTGTCACATCACTTGATGATCAAATCTATGAGAAGCTTTATTAAATTGGGACTTAACACAACGCAAATGTACCCACGGTGCACCATGTCCAGATCAACATCGATCGACAGCAATCAGATCTGGCGCATCCCAAACAATGTTCTTGTTTGGACTGTGGTTGTGGGCAGAGCTTAGGTGTGTAGTAAAGATCAAGAGTGTTGGTCTTAATCCTTTAAAGATGTTTGGTTCTTCATTTGGGAACTAAATGAAGGGTGCGCTTTAATGCGTCACCAGCATGACTTGTTATGCAGTTGGGGTCTTGTTTTTGGAATAGTTTTTAATCACAGGATGATTATTTATATTTAGATGAATGATAAACTTGGTATTCTCAATTTTGCATGCCAAAAAGTGCTTTTAACATAACAGGTGATCTTGAATCAATTTGAAAAACAAAATTTCTCTGTCTTTTTTGAACATCTGTTATTGTAAATAACTTAAATGAGAAGGGATCGTTAGTGAAAATAAATACTGGCAAATATCATTTAAAGCTGTTTTTGAAAAGCTCAGTTCCAATCATGTTAACCGCTGTTTTGATGGAGCTCTTTCATCTTATCTGTGTACAGAGAACTTACGCTCAGGGTTTAACATTGCTGAGAAGAAATGGGGCATGGAGATGGGAAATTGAGAGAGGGCACAATTTTTCCCCATTATTATTATTATTTTTTTTCCAAAATACATGAAAAAAACAACAACAACAAAAAAACAAAAAACTATTTTTAATCAAACCAGGTTCAGTGTTTTTTTAATTAATTTATTTATTATTATTATTATTTTTTTTTTTTCAAATTTAACTTATTGAGTATATTATTTAATCTAATTAACATGAATGAAGACTTGCATGTCCATTTTCTTAGTGCGTAAGAAAACAGACTCGTATCTGGAGAGACAGTTGTGTGAACAGTTAACATACTTTAATAAGCTCAAAGTATTATCAGTCACAGGGGATCATGCAAGCACTTCTAGTGAAATTCTTGCTTGTTTTGTTGTTGGGATGTCACAATATGAAATATTTTCACAGTGTGGCATTAAGCTTATCTATCTCTATGGAGACAAACATGTGAGACGTTAATAAAATCTAAGGAGGTTTTTCAAAGTTCTTTGGAGAAATCACCTGTAATTGGATAAATGTAAGATGGATATGTTTAATGCCATACTGCATTAATAATGCCATGAAACATTCCAAAACAAAACTATGCAATTTCTATGAAGGCAAAGAGGTAGCAGGCCCTCCATCTGAAAGTTACACAGTGCACCTTTAAATCTCCCTACACTTTTATGGACCCTGATGACTTTATGCACATGGCCCTAAAGAGTGCATATTGTAATAGAAGACAAATAACCTACCAGTAGTGGGCACCAGCAGACTGAGGCTATGACCATTATGAGAATAAGCTGCACCATCATCTCCACCTCATGGTCCCTTCGCCTTTGGGTGCCACCTGGTCCACAGCAGACTCTGATGAGGGTCACCACACTCACAGTGTTCAGCACAAATGACACGGTCAGGCATGTCAGTCCAACCAGGGAGAAGACCAGTGAGAAGATCTTATCATTCCCCATGGAGCTTATGTTGAAACACCACGACCCTGGCATCTGCATGTGGTAGCTACCAACGCCAAAGATGGGAAGTAAAGAGATGGAACCAGCAATCATCCACACAACCAAAACCATGATGACAGTTCTTTTTTTGGGCATGGCTTGAGATCTTGAAAACGGACAGTTAATTCCCGAGAAGCGTTCGATTGCCATTGTTGCACCAAGAAGCAAAGGACACAGTCCATAGAAGACCATTGACATGCCCATGAAGTTGCAAAAATGGCAGTTGGGATCCAACTGGCGCCAGTTGAAATGCGTGACATGGAAGGAAACTACAATAGATCCGGTTACTAAAAGTCCCAGAAAATCAGTGACAACCAACCCGCCAAGGAAGACTAGGAAGAAGGAGCGTGAGCGGCTTTTGGCTCGCTTGAAGGATTGAAGAAGAACAATGAAGGCTACAAGGTTTGAGGTGAGTCCAAGAACGCTGAAGATGGAGGAGAAGTATGCGGAGGCGATGGTGGGATGGTACTGGAAGGGTGGGCTGTTGATGGAGTAGCACAGCGGGGTGGACTCATTCAGGTGTGAAGTGTTCATGGTGAAAGATGGTGCAAAATATGGGGGTCTGGAAAGGTTTTGAAAATCTTCATTGATCTGCAAAACATGCAACAATAAGAGGTGCTAGATTAATAATATAACATAAATACAGAAAATTATGAATCTATTAATTGACAGTGGAGTGGTGACAGAGGAGGCTATGAGTACTTTGGTTTTCCCCATCAACCCTAAACATGCACAGAAAACTATTTCTGAAGCCTACATATGTCTAACTCAAGATGGGCCCCCAGCTGCCCAAATAGCCTGAGAGTAGATCAAATGCCAAGGTCAATTTTCTCCACAAGGACAATAACATCTACAAATAGCCTATCAAAAATGAAACCTATTTAGGGCAATGCAGGATAAATGCATGCATTAATAAAATACAAAAATACAAGTAAGATAATGATGAAGAAATACCACTAGGAAATGGCTAAAAGCTTTCAATGTAACTAAATATAAGTACATTTTTACGTAATATGTCTCTTTTAAATGCTAATTTGGCAGCAGTACTTGCCATCTAACTGTACTTTTACTTGAGTATAGATTTACAGTGCTTTTGTCCATCACTAATAGACACTGAGAGGGTCAGAGGGGTAATGGGAATGAGAGGATGATATCTTTACAGGAAGTGCACTAGTGTACTGACCGAGGCTCTAACAGGAAGTGCACTCTGCATTAACGCCTGAAGTCTTCCCCTCTTATCCATCCAGGGGCTATAAACAGCCAGAGTGGGTCACTGCGGTCACATGGGAAATATTCTCCAATTTTTATGAAGCCAAATATGTTCATTGTATCAACTGCAACAAACAGGAAAGGCTGAAAATAATATTGGGAAGATATTATTCGGGCTATTCATAATCACCCCTCATGATGCACTCAAATAAAATATCTGTGGATGCTGCACACATCATGCAATATCTGACTATAGATTTAATATGACAAAACATGTGTATTACATTTAAAGTGTTATAGGCTACGGGGACATCCAGATCATTTAAATTTCTATTAAATAATGACAAGATGGCAATTTCTCCCATAACTTTCTTTACATATGTCAATTTGTGTGCTCCTGAATGTTAGACACTTACCTCCCTGCTATCTTAGTCTGCATCATCAGAGGTATAATACTCCCTACAACCAGAGCATAGCCAAACTGGACAATACTAGAGTAGAATGGACTACATTATCACAATGTTAAGAGCTAGTGTCTCCAGGTGCTGGGTACTGTACTGATGTAAATAAATGTCACCTGCATTAGAACTCCAGCCTCATGCCTCGTCTCTTCAACTCCAGCTAGAATTTATTCTACATTGCTGGGAGAATGCACACCACAGTTTAGGTACCAGTATCTTAGAGCCAAGTAAAAAGAAACAAAGCACTAAGGAAACGCTTAGTGCTTGGTTTTAATTGACGTCTGTGAAAGAAGCACTGGATAAGCAGACAATTATCTTCAGGCTTCCTTTGGGAGCCAACAAATGGGCTAGTGAGAATGTCTGAAGTGGGAGTGTCCGAACACACCACTTTCATACTAGGCAATGTTGATGAAGTGTTTTGCCTAAGGACACAATGGCAGAACTTGGTCCGAGCAGGAATCGTTCTGACCATTGGGTTGGGGGGCCACTGCTCTAAGCACTCAGCCTCTGTTGCCCCTAATGATGTCCACACTGTGCCGGTCATAGCTCTCGCAGGTTACACTGTTATTTATCTAACCAGTGTCTGACTTTTCACTAAAAAATATGAACAATATATAAATACATGTTTTCTCTTACTGCAAAATAATAATGATCATTCATTTATTTTATGTCGCTTCCAAAACAGCCCTGGGACTGACTGATGGAAATGAGGTTGCCAATTTGCACCATCTCTCCCTTGGACCACCTCAAATACTCACTCATACACCACATTAACAATAGCTTACGTAACTGAAATGTTTTGCCTAATGACACAACAACTGTACCACAAGTTAATGTTTAACAGACTTAAAATGCAATGGAAAACAAAAAAAAGCAAAACATCTCAGCAATTATTTCTCAAGAAACAATTATGGACTCAAAGCCAGTTTGTGTAGAAGTATAGTGGGGCAGGATTATGGATGCCTAAATGGGATCACTGAATAATAAAATAAATTTTAAAAATGTCCAAATTTGAGTCATCATGAGTGTGATATATGTTCTTCCTGTATTTTCTGAGTCAGAAAAATGTATCTGCTGCAAAATACATTAAAGGTATTTATAGATTCATTACCTGCAGATGAATTTAAAATGAACAAAAATCTACTTACCTTTGTTGCTCAGTGACAATTGCAGTTTGGTCATTGTCAAACAAGTGTTAAATAGAGCAGCATTATCAGCACTAAGCACTTAAACACTGTAAAAACACTTCTATACTGTCTTACCGTTTAAGTGAAACCTAAAGGTCAAGTTTGCTCAGCTCCATTTATGGTTTCTACTTGTTCTTTTAAGGTAAATACACAAATAGTAGGAATGTCGTCAGTAACTGCTGAAAGATTTAACTTGTTCCAGCATCACTCCCTCCGTCGTCCTCCTTCTTGTGTTAGTTTCACTTCAAAATGGGCTTCCTTTTACTCACTAAGACCCTCCCCAAAGGAAAAGAGGGAGTGGATATCTGGCAAACATCACACAGTGTGGTCAGGAATCCACAGTTATCATCAGGATGAGCCATGGGAAGGAAGGGCAGTGCATAAAGTGAAAGCTTGTGGCCACTATGAGTTGATCTCATAAAGTGTAAACTTAAATGTGGCCTTAGGGCTTCAGCACATGAGAGAGGTCACCAATCCAGTGCACTTTAGTTGTATAGTACACTGACACAAGACAGCACATGATGGTTTCCAAAACACATCACAAAACAAACAAAGACAACATGTAAATAGTAAACAAAACCATTAAAGGGCCCATATTAATCTGTGGATCATTCAGTTGTTTTTCAATATAAAACCAAAAATAAGAAAATGAAAAAACAACTGATTTCTTCATTATTTGTCTCCAAAACAAAAATGAAAAAATGGATAACGATTCATTTTTTCAATTTTCGATTTTGTGTTTAAATGAGTAATGAAAAAAAAAAAAGGATAACGGCCGTTTTCCATTTCCGTGACTTAAACTGCGATGCCGGACTTTTGGATCACATATGGACTGAACCAAGACTGAACCAGGTCCAGGACCAGACCGGAATCAGACTGGGACTGAGACCAGAACCAGGACCAGGACTGAGACTGGGTCTGAGACCGGGACTGAGATCAGGATTGAGTCTGGGACAGAGACCAGGACCTGACCTGGGCCAGACCGGGACTGAGACCAGGACCAGACCAGGACTGACAGCAGGATCAGACCAGGACTAGACCAGGACTGAGACCGGGACCAGACCGGGACCTGACTGGGACCAGACCGGGACCAGACCGGGACAGAGACCCAGACTGAGACCAGGACTGAGACCAGGACTGAGACCAGGACTGAAAATGGTTTAGTCCTGTTTTAGTGCTGTTTTAGTCCTGTTTTAGTCCTGTTTTAGTCTTGGTTCAGTCCATATGCGGTGCAAAAGTCCAGCATCGCAGTTTAAGTCACGGAAATGGGAAATGGCTGTTATCCATTTTTTCCATTATTCATTTAAACACAAAATCAAAAACTGAAAAAATTAATTGTTATCCACCATTTTTTCATTTTTGTTTTGAAGACAAATAATGAAGAAAGCAGCTGTTTTTTGTTTTCGTATTTTTGGTTTTATATTGAAAAATGAATGAATGAATGATTCACGGATTCATATTACACAAAGCTTTAAGCCATGTTATAATGTTGTTACTTTTTCAAAAACACTTCTGGAGTTGTGTTTTGTTTCATTCACACATGTTTGAGTAACCCTTTATTAGTTTGTCTACATCTCCAAAGCTCTAAATGCTCTGTTCCACCTCGTGATGTCATGTAGTGGTAGTTTTCAAGTTAACCTTTTACCTTTAGGTCAGTAGAAAGGTCAGTTCCCGGGCTGAAACCATCTAGATAATTCTAGTGAAGTTGCATGGAGTTCAAAACACAATGGGGACTTCATGTTATCACAAGGTGGGTCAATATGTTTTCCATTAGAGATCAGAACCCGGCCTAAATATTCAGAGTTTGTGTGTTAAATGTGAATGACAAAAACACAAGTCCAGGTTTGTTTTTGATGGGGAAACAACATTATAACGTAAATCAGAAAATAGTGTAATGTAGATCCTTTAATCTGGGTAAAGCAACAGACTAAGTTTAAAATTCTCACCGCCCTGTAATAACTGTAAGACACAGCTGTCATGTTCTACAGCTGTTTCATTGTCAAAAGTAACAGTTGAGTCAGTATGGTATTCAGTATGGTTTAATAAATAATTAAATACAATAAAGACTGATTAAAATATTTTACCTGCAAAGGAATGTGCGTTATTCCTGGATTTGCAGCTGCCCGTTCATAAAAGTGGATCTCTTCTTCACTGTGGTTTTCCTCCTGGTTTCTTTTTTCTCACTGCTTTTCCTTGCTGAGAAAGAAGGTGAAAGGACATGGGATATTCTGGAACAGTTATCCATTTGCTTGTTTTCTAATGGAATGTTGTTTAATCTGCCTTTTTGCTGTTGAACAATGTTAATGTTTCACTGCTTGATTTTCGAACTTTTCGTTGTTTAAATCAGTGATTTTGTTAAGCCCTAATAGGCAACTTCTGTTCTGATTTTGGGCTTTACAAAAATGTGTTAAATTGACAATAAAATAAAAAATACTGATGGATGATTTTGCAGTCTTCAGTTACTCGAGTAAAAGTGTGCAGTTTCTTAGATCCATTTCTGAACTGCACAGTCCTCTGAGAGTAAATTCTTTTCTCCTCCTGCAAAACAGATGTGTAACAACAGCCAGCATACACACCAACACACCAGCACACTAACACACCAACACACACACACATAAATCTCAGACTGGGTGAACTCCAGGGCAGTACATTCTACTCACCAGGCAGGAGCCATAGAGGGCTATGCTTGGGCAACATGTCCTGTAAAGGCACAAATGTCATTTAGTTTTACTTTTGAAGTGATAAAAGGAAAATTAGACATAATTTGTTTTTCAGTTTAAATGAAACTGCTTGACTGCACAGTGATCAAGTCAATATTGGTAATATAAAGTAAGTTTATAGGATGTGTATAAGGTCAGTTTATATTTTTAGTATAACTCATCACATTTCCAAACCCAAAGCAGAAACTCTATCCAGACACATTCTTTGTTCTTTTATGGGCATTCTTATATAAGGGAAAAGCATAACCAGAAAGAGCCCTGAGAAACTATAGCTTTACAACTGTGTGATCAGCAGTGTTGAAGATTTGACAAAACAACAAAACTTTGAATTTAGCTACACCAATATATTTTATATTACTAAAAAAAAATGGAAGCTTGCCAGTACTTAGGGGAAGTCATTGATCTAAATAACAATAATTAATAAAACATGAGAAAGGATTCAAAACTGTGGCAAGACCATAGACTGTATGAATATATAAATACATACATTTATATACACACTCTATGGGCAAGACTGATATTTTACATCAAACACCACAACAATATTATATTGAGTCTAAAATAAGAGTTCCAAGAAAGTAATAAAACAATAAAACAGCAGATATCACTTGTAGATTATAAACTGTACTTTACAACATCTAGGTTTATTTCTTATCTAATTCAATGTACAGTACAGTAGGCTTCTTTGAACGCGGGGAAGCGCAACATAAATGTGTCCACCAGATGGCAGCAATATTGTTCCAAAGACCATTTTACCCAGGTCAATTCACTTTATGTCCAAGTGTCAAGAAGATACACACACACACACACACACACATATATATCTGTGTGTTCAAGGAAAGGGTTAATGTTAGCTGTTGTGCAACACCTAGGACTACATCTCTGCCTATAGGATGTACAGGGACGCTCACTAATTAAGAGAATCATTTCTTTCCATTATTTGACCATGTATAACCAAATATTGTAGTAACAAAGCATTTACAATATGAAGTAAAAATGTTATTATATTTTGGTTAATTTTACATAATGCAATTTGACCCCTATTCCAAAATCTGGACATATGGACATACTACAAATCACATCTTCAAGTAGTCCATGGAAACAGTTGGCTGACATTCTAAAGAAAATCAAAGCATTTACAATAAAAACTGTGCAATCTAAACAATTTACATTCACAATCACTTTGACCCCACTCGACATTACATGAACATATGATATGAACATATGAGAATCAATGGGATTCCTCAAATTTGTTTTTTTTAAATAAACAAACAAATAAATAAATAAATAAATAAATGACTAAATAAATAGTAGGGTGAAATGCGGGACAACAAGCTTATAGTTAAAGATGTTGCGTAACAATTGGTCCTAATTCATGGATATACATTATAGTAGGTACTGAAAGTTGAATTCCAGTGTATCCAGTAGATGGTAGCAGAGCACTTTGAAAATGCACTGTTGCCTCTTGTTCCTATAAAGTCATGCCAAGACTGATTTTTACAAGATCTGATGCAGTGCTCTAAAACTGGACTGGATACGATCTTTGTGAGATGTTTAAATGCTCTTCTCATAGAACTACCAGTGTGTCCTTGTGTCCTACAAAGCCTTTGTGGTAGAGAGGGGTCAAAGCTAAGATCCAGACGGGCTGGACTCTCTTTGTATGAAATGCAGATGCTTGGCTGAACAGGCAAAAGAGGATGAAGCAGATCAGATTTGATGGTTCGTTTTAAATACCAAAACTAGAACTGGATAGTGCATGTTTCCAACTATTTCACAAGTATGTGTCTTTTGATGGTTCATTTGCACTGATTTTTAAAGTGCCCAGATTACACTATTTTCTGATCTATGTTTTAATGTTGGTTCCTCATTTTGAGTTGTGTTTGGTTTCATTCACACATGCTTGTACAAATCCTGCATGTTTAGGCTGTGTTCTTCTCTCAAACAGAGTACTCTGATCCACCTTTTGATGTCATGTGGTAATACAGATACACACATATAATCCACTGTGTTTTTAAACCTGGAATTAGCAATCTCTTCCAAAGGTGGAACAGATAAGAGCATTTTGAGGTTGGTATAGATGTACACAGCCTAATCATGCCGGTTTACTCTAATTCAAGTGTGAATGAAACAAAACACACTTCATAGGCCTATGTTTTTAATGAGATAACATTCTCACATGGCTCAAAGCTCACAAGAATCCATTTTGTGTAATATAGGAGCTTTAAAGCCAGAACTGTTGTACCAATGGCATGTGGCAGAGCTCCTGAAACCTCCTCCTGAAATTTACTATTCTGGCTGCGGTTGTGAACATGCGTAAATCTCTTTGTAATAAAATGTAGCCATAAACAGCTAATGGTTCGTCATGAATATTTCAGAGTCTTGAATACCCGGCAGAAAATGACCTCCGGAAAACTTTAACAAGACACATCTCGGACAGATAACTTCCAAGTAAGTCCTCTCTATCTGGTGCTTTTGGCTTTCTTTTTCCCTGATTGGATTGATTTGTCATTTGCAACCGAAAAGCGCTTTGGCCACGGGGCTGTGGATAATCCAATTTATCGCTTTGCCATTTATTACAAATTTCTGCGGCTTTTGGGTCCACTGTCACATCGATTCGTTGATTGCTTGCTTAGCTGGGTCCTAATGAGCTGCTGTCTGAATCACTGCATAATCACAGCCCTAATTCACTGCCTTGCCCTTCCCTAACACTCGCTCCATTGGCTGGCTTCTATTAGAGGAGACTGGACTCCTTCTGAAAATGGTTGTGTTGGCGTTCTTTTATTCCTCCTTACTTGGAAAAGGCCTGGTTTAAAGGGGCATTGTGTAACTTTTCTGTTGGAGGGTCTGTAAAATTTGATTTTCTCCATGGAAATGTTGTTGCTTTGCCTGAAGTGTTTCACAGTATGATATTAAAACTTTCTATCTTCATGTATTGTATTTTTTTGTATTTATGTATTTATTTTGGGCAAGTAAGAAATTTAGATTCTTTTACAATAGAACATATAACATTCATGAAATCATAGCAGAAATTTAAAAAAAAAAAAAAAAAAAAAAAAAATGGCCCAAAAAGGAGTGGGAAGAAGAAAATGTATTTAATCCCACCCCCTCTTCGAATCTAACACAATGAGCTTTCTTTTGAATATGTCAGACATTTTACATTAAACTATATGAATTATTTACAAGTGTGGACAACGAGTCACTGTTATAGTTTAGTAATATAACGGTATTGCAGCAATGGAAACCAAACCACCAAAAATGGAGGTCAGATCTGCAACTGAATAAATGTGTTAATGTCATACTGTGGAACATTCCAGGCAGAGCAATGGCATGTTCATAGAAATAAGCAAGTGACGGACTCTCCCCTAGAAAAGTTAAACAATGCACCTTTAAGGCAGAGTTTGCTTAACATATGACCAGCATGAAACTGAAAGACAGGTTTTCATGTTTTTCTAATTAGGACTAATCATGACTTAGTTGCAAAGAAAAAGTACAAAAACAGAAAACCTCTATTTTTGTTATCAACACTGGAAATTCTATCCAAAATGCAATTCAAACATTGATTTAATTTAATCCTAACTAGTCCAATTTAAATGGTCTGTGCTGACTTACCTCTATGTATATCTGTTTCTCTACCAGTGACTAAAATTATAACCTTCACCAGAATAAAAAAAAAAAAAATCTGTAAAATCTCATGAAGGTTCCAACTGTTTTAGTGAAATGAAATCATATTTAGGCTTTCTCATAGCTTATAAAACCCTCTGGAGGACAGACAGCAAAGCAAATATCACCGGTTGGATGTTCTCCACTGCACAAATAAGGGACAGGTCTTATCTAGCGTCTGGGAATCTCTGGAAGAATCGGATTTGTTTGTAGAAAGGCCAAAGAACAAATACCGAGGGAAAATACATGGCATCCATTAACAAAAGGGCACTACCGTTGTGTTTGTGTGCTCATCCTGACATCTCTCATGACATAAAATCTACAAAGTAAATACCAAATTTCACTGATGAATGATGTGCAAAGTTCATCTTACAGCATCAGAAAGAATAATAAAAACTCTAATTACAATCCAAGAATTTAAATGATGTTAGGCCATGTATCAAAGCTCTTTACCGTTTAATCTATGTTCTTACACTTATGGTCATGAGCAAAAGGAAAAGATATAACTGTCCAAAATGAGTTTCCTTCATAAGCTTGCATGAGAACTCCCTTTGAGCGTAAGGAACTTGGGGTAGAGCCGCTGCTCCACCAGTCTGAGAGGAGCCAGCTGATGTGGCGTTCCTGGATGCTTTACTGGAGTATGGACTTTGTTGCTCTGTGGCCTGGGATCAGCTCAGGACTCCCCCCGCAGGAGCAGAGGGGGAAAAGGGAAGTCTGGAAAACTCTGCTTTAACTGCTCCCTTGTTACCATGGATAAAGCGGATGAAATGGATGAAAATACACACAATAAATGCTATTTACTACTTTTACAGACCAAAAAGCGTATCAGTATATCAAACTCAGTCTCTTTTGTCAATGGCTAATTACTAATCACTCTATGTGTTTACAAAATGAAAAATCAATCACACACTTTTCAGACAACATTTCTTTAATACAAAGTCAACATATCTACATACACAGTGGCTTTTAACCAATTCTTATTTCAGTCCATAGTAACAGTTTGATGGTGATAGTGCTTGCCTCATACAAAGGAAAACCACCAAATTTGGGTTCTTTTACTGTATCGCCTATGCTCAATATTCTATGTATCTTTTTGTACCCACATATTTCACCAATTATGTAGGTTGTGTTTTGTATAGCCTAGAACCTCTACATAAAAAATAGTAACACATTGCACAAGCTTCCAAAAAGACTTCCACCGTTTGGCATGGGGACCAGCCTTTTTTAAGGGTTGAAAAGTTCAGGTTTTCAGGAGTTCATTTTTAGGAAACATCCCACTGGTTTTAGAGACATGCTCAGAAATGTCAATTCTCAGCAAGTTTTGGTTGTCAGTGTTGTCATATCTCCTCTTGTCTATTGAGTCCTGATTTTAACTGCATCCCATAAAAAAAACAAAAACATGGTAGAACATAATCAGACAAAATGAATTCATACAATGTTCAAAAGTACAGTAGGCAAACATGACAAAAATGTGCATCTCAGTGTTTTATCATTTAAAATTCACACATTGGCATCTATAAGGCATTTTCACCTTTGGGGTTTGTATTGTTGTGTTTTATTACGACTTCAGCAATGAAATATAAGCAGGTCTTACCCCCATATCATTATTTAACTACTACTAATGGCTTGTTCACACCTTGGGGTCAATTTTGCATTTGCTGTAACCCACAATTTTCCAATTTTGCCCCTAACTGATACTTTATTAACTGGCATGTGTCCTGTTGATTCACTGATTATAAAACTCCATATAGTGAGATTGAAGATAGACAGTACAAAATGCCATGTTCAACTGCTTGTAAGGGAAATGGGGAAAAAATGCTGTTAATAAAATATTTGGGAGCAGGCTTGAGAGGAGTGTTTTCTGTTTGAGAGTAGAAAAGAGGAAATCCGAATCAACATTTGTGTACCCACTTAAAGTATGAGATCTCAAGGGTCGAATGATACAAATACATATAATCTATATTTGTTTATTTACAGGCATATTTCTAGATAATTGTGGATCTACAACCAAAATAATGACAGAAATTCAACTGAAATGCAGAGAAATATGATGCCCTTAGACACGTGTACACTATCACACAGTACAGCATGTCAAGTCAGGATGATGTTTAAAAAAAAATAAAATAAAATTATAGACCTGTAATGAGATTTTGGTTGATAAATGTTTTCTCAACATTAATAATAAAAAATAAAAAAACAACTAATTTCTAACTAAAGTTAATAGTAATAGAGAAAACGTAAAAAAAATGCACCTCCTTTTCAATATAATATCATTTTCCAATTACACACCAAAAAATCATGTTTGAACTGGCTGCTATTATAACATTGATGAGTTTTATACTAAAAGTTTGGATATATCTTTATATTTAGCTTTAAATATATATGCCTGTGTGAGTGTGCAGTACATACACATACAATAATATGTATATATACGCACACATGGCCACAGGCATGTTATACTTAACATTTCTACAGTGAAAAAATAGAATGTCTTTTAACATAATATGAACAAATAAGCATTTCTTTTATCCTGCTATTTAAAAAAAATGTGATACATTATCTCTGTTAAAAACAAAACAAAAACAAATAAGAAAAAATTAGAAAATGTAACAAAGTAAAATAAGTTGTCATAATACAACATTAATGTTTCCATAATGTTACAACAACAATAAGGCTTTTTTGGAAATAAGAAGAGATTAAACACAGTTCTGTCCATCGCTTGGATTTTTGTGCACACCCGTCATTCATATAGAATCAGCACGCCCCCTGTCTGTCAGACCAGAGCGGTGCAAGATCACACACATAGTACCATAGTGTGAGCGATGCAACCTGCAGGTGTTCTGGTTTCAAGTTTCTAATGTTCTCAGATGGGTGTGTGCAAGTACCGAAGATTTCATTATCACATCAATTCATTTAGCTGAGACATGGCTGCCAGGTCTGGTTCTTTGCGGAAACATTATTTTAAAAATGAACATACTGCAAAGCCAAATGTCGACTTGTTTTATCCACGCACACTCACAAACAGATGATCAGAGGCCTGGGTTGTTTCTCAGTCACTTCAGGCCTCTTCCACTCTCAAGTGTCTTTACGATGAAACACATGGATATAGAGAAGGCTGGGAGAACTCAGGGGTGCAGAATGTCATGGGGATGCTCTTCAGACACGCGTGCTTTAGCATAAGCAAAGTTGGAATAGTTCATTTGTCCATTTCATTTTTCCCATGTCACACATACAGCACACACAATATAAGCAGCATGTTTGGTTTGACAGAAATGATAAAAAAAAGAGACTTCCTTGTAAGACAAAAGGGTTCGTAATGTTGATGTTGGTCACTGTACACAAGAAGGGCCCGGTTGTGTGGCCTTCCCTGTTGGTTTGTCTCAAAGCTTGTAGATCCACAGATGTTGTCCTTGGAGATAGTAGACAGCAAAGCCCCATGATGCACTGGTGCCATAGATAGGAGTGATTGTAAAAATGATGGTGCCATCTCTCCCTGTCCCTTTGTCAGTTTGTCTGATATCTTAGTACCTTAAATTTATAATTTTGTGTTAATCTGAGTTTATGGAAAAGTGTTAATGCTTCAAGCAAATAAAGATGCTATGTATTTTCCTAAAAGGAGATTAGCTTCCACTTACAATGTTGGTTGTCTCCACTACTAGCCAACCAGTGTTCACTCAGGCAGCCATGATTTTCATAGTTCTTCTGAATATCACCCACAAAATGTGTGTAATATAGAAAAGGCCCTTTTACAACCAGGCATATCAAAAGGAACAAGAGAAAGTCACCCGGCTACATCCATCTGCACTGATTGATTTAGCTGTTACCTTCTCCTTCATTAACTGTTGCTTGTGTGTCAGATAGTTTTGAAAGAGAGAAATATCCACGAATGTTACAACGTCGTCCACACTGAGAGAGCTGAGGTAAGGTAAAAGCACTCTGACACTTCGATCAATACTCCGCCCCACAGTCGAGCCTGGAGCCTCTCTTCTCTTTTGGATGGGTCATTTCCTCACTTCCTTATGAGAGGCCGTTTAGTCCAATTGAAATCTGGTTGGTCGGATATTTGGAAAGAAAATCTACAATAGTATCCATTTTGGTGTGTCCTGGTCTTCTTCTTCTGTCAGATTGTAAAGTTTCTATGGCTCAGGATACTGTCGAGGGTGGGGTGGGGAGTGACAGGGTTCTGGTGGGGAAGAGATGGCTTTTTACGTTGCATAGTGATCAAAGCTTCCTAAATACTCCAGAGCTGCGTGATAGCAGAATTGATATTCATCCTTTAGGGAGAAAAACAAAGAGAGAAAAACAACAAGATTAGTGGTAAATAAAAACAGACGTCATAGCTCATTTCACTGGGTACATTTACACAGCCAGTAAAAGTCAGATAGCTACATTAATCAGATAACCCAATAATTAGATCTTAACAATGCAAAAACCTGGTGACACGTGTCATTTAATTAATGGATGTTAATTAATAATGTTGTAATTGGAAGACAAAGTACAAGACATTTTAATAAAACTCTTTCAATCTCATCTTTGCCACAGTTGTTAGACATTTTTGCATAATTTTCATTGTCAAAACCGGCACAGGTGTGAACAGTCAGAAAGAAATCAGATTGCTCACATTAGATGTAAAAGGCCATGATTACGTGCAAACATAATAATCTGATTATTATCTGATTCTGGACCTTAAACATGATTTAAAAGACATGTAAATTGGAAAACCTGATGAGTGTCACAGGAGAGATCATAGAAATAAGATGACTTTACTGGTTACATGTCATTTTAACAGTATTATATATGCATCTTTGATACTTTATTGTGTCACAAAAAACAATTAAAATTCTTGCTGACTATAGAGACAATATTTATGTTTTGTTTCAGTTTTTTATCTCCATTTCCCCCTACCCTTGTGGTAAAACAACTTAATACAGTGAAGATATACAACCAGTGTTGGGAGTAACGGATTACATGTACCGGAGTTACGTAATCAGAGTACAAATTATGAGTAACTGTATTCAGTTACAGTTACTGTTTCAGTGAGTGGTAATTGGATTACAGTTACTTTGTTGAAATAAGTGGATTACACAGCGGTATTTTCCTGTTTTTACATTTTGGGCTATATCCCCTTTTTTTTTTTTCCCCTGTAATTTGACTCATTGCCAGACACTATACCAGGTCTAAACCAGGTCTAAAACCAGGTCTAAAACCAGGTCTAAAACCAGGTTTAAACCAGGTCTAAACCAGGACTAAAACCAGGTCTAAACCAGGACTAAAACCAGGCCTAAACTAGGTCTAAACCAGGTCTAAACCAGGTCTAAACCAGGTCTAAACCAGGTCTAAACCAGGTCTAAACCAGGACAAAACTTCTTATGTGAAGATATCCTAGTCTTTGCTTCTCTACAGCAAATTAAGTAATCCAAAGTATTCAGATTACGTTACTCACCTTCAGTAATTTAATGGATTCCGTTACAAACTACATTTTGAGGTATGTAATCTGTAATCTGTAGGGGAATACATTTTAAAAGTAACCTTCCCAACACTGTATACAACCAAATAAAAACACATAAAAATATTTATTATAATTATAAGTACAAACAAAACAAAACATAATAATAATTACTGAGAAATATTATGTATGAGGAGACGAAACAAAATCAAGAAATCGAAATCGAGAAATCAGATAATGATCAGATTTCTGTCGCACATGTGAACATAATCCACTGTGTACATGTTGAGTTATGTTGTTTTTGGGATCTTACCTCAGTTTGCACCATGGCTGGTCTCTGCGTCCGGAGCATCTTCACTGTCTGGAAGATATCGACCACGCCTTCGTACCTCATGCGCTCCAGCACAATGCTGAGGGTGATGAAAACTCCGGTTCTTCCCACGCCAGCACTGCAAACATATAAACAGTCAATACACAAGTAACACATCCCTTGACAAACACTGCACCACAATATAGATCTGAATGTCTAGTCTATAGGAAGATTTTAGTAGTGGGAAAATGTTGCAATGACAAGACGTGCAGTGTGTTTATAAAAAGCTATACAGTAACATTTTTCTGCATATTTGTGGTTTCTTTTACAGCCCATTCATATTTGTGTAATGATTAAACACCAATCAAAACATATAAAGACAGTTTTTATCATATTTTTGATAGCAAAACTATCATCTGATAATCATAATTGGGCCAATCTAACCCAGAATTATTAAGATAAGAAATTTTGTCAGTTTCACCACCCCATTACAACAGCCTGTAAAATCACAGGCTTGAGACAATGAAAGTGTTTTTAGGGCCACATGATTAATCACCATCGAAATCAAAATCACAATTTGAATTGCAAAAACTGTAATTTTTGAAACATCAACTAAATATCTTGTTATGTGTTATTCCATATAAAATGCCTAACCCTGCAGTTAGATCTGTACAACCATGTTGTGAAAAGGGATTCTTTTCATTAGTTTGTCATATTTCAGTATTTTTGGTAATTCTTCTGCAAGTGTTTAAAATATGAACTTGTCCCTATTATAAGGAATTTTTACTGGTAACGCTGACAATGACAAACAGGCCTAAAATGTGGAAAAATGGTAAGGAATGCACCAGAAAACAAGGAATCTAACACACAACACATGTCAAATTAAATAAGCAAGTCTCACACGCAAGCCTATGATTTGCTGGAAATTCCACAGCCCAATTTCTCCAGCAGGTTAAGTCTGTTGTCTTACAGCGCTTACAAAATGTGCTTGTATTTTTCCACTTTGATGTTCTCCCATTGTCTCCCCAGTCAGAAAACAATCCCTCAAGGACACAAGTGAGCAGCCACACACCAAACCAACAGCCTAAACAAGTAAACATTTAGTCTCATTAAACCCCTCCCGTGTGCCCACCCCACCCTCCTCCACCACCACCACCACCACCACTGATGCTGCTGTGCTCTCCAGAAATACAGCCTGGCAGACTTAGATCCTGAAATACTTTGAGAGCTGCCCCTCTAAGCTGCTTTGCTGTGAAATAACTTCCACTTCACCAATGGAACAATAATTGATGTGACAACAGATTTATTTGGACCTCTTTCGCCCTCCTAGAAAATGCTGTGACTATGGGCACTTGAAAGAGAATGTATATACCGGTCTAATGCTGGTGGTAAAGGGCACAGCTGACAGATAATACAATAGAATGTATGGTGACACCTTTTTGTGTTTAATGTTAGCAACTTGGCAACCATTTGAGATCTGATACAAAAAAATAAAAAGATCTTGAGAAAAAGTAACCCAGCCCTAGCCTGATTCATCAGCTGGTTTCACTTCGTGGAAACTGTCTGACCTTGCAGCATTAGAATTTGTTCACTCGACGGTAGGCGGGTACTTTTTACATTTAACCAATTGCTGCTATTTGTTCGTGACATATGTAATGCGCTGCTAACTGGTATATTAAGCTTTTCCCAAATCCCGTAGGAAGAAGGGCAATAATGTCTTTCTCCTTGATAAAATTCACCAAACATTCTCTTTGTTTGGGCTTTAAATCCTCGATCTCGGGAACTCTTGCCAACACAGAATGTATGACTCTTTGCTGATTGGCTGGTGCCCAAACTTGCACTTCCAGGGTTTTTGCGAACCATGTAGTGTATTCCTGACCTAGTCGCTGGAGAGAAATGAAATTGAGCAGAGGCACTAGGTGGTGCAAGCCTGGCTAACCCAGCCCAGCCATAACTAGTCAACTACCCCTCAAATGTAAATTACAACACATTAATAATCACTCAACAAATCAGTCTATATTTTATAGGTTAATTTTGGTAATACATAAATCCATGATATCAATTATAGGGTCAACGTGTCTTTTCCATAACCAGGCAACCCAAAGAATATATCAAGGGTACATTTCTTCTACTCTTCCTCCTACTACTACAGTACTACTACAGTACTACTTCAGTTACAACTACTACAGTTACAACTATGACTACATTAGCGATCACTACTACTACTACAGTTTCAAGTATAACTGAAATCATGTTATGTCTTTCCATATTCAAGCAACTCATTGTATCAGTTGTTAAATTACACTATTATTACTACTTCTATCTTTTCACTAATCCAAAGTTTGTCAGTTTGATTCCTGCCCCTGTGCTGTGCCGTTGGGTGCTCTCCCCTATTAACCACTCCATCTGAAAGCCTCTTCCACGGAGTCACTCACACACAATCCTAAAGACCCTCTCCATCCTCTCTTCCTCTGCCTTTGCCTCTCACTCAAACATCAACTGCATATCTGAATACACTCTGAGCCGCTGCAGACTGAGAGGATTTGGTGTTCCCATTCACAGGAACTAATCAGGCAATTAATGACAAAACGCATGTGGCTTTATTAGATAGTGACTGAGGAAATATGTGGGTGGGAGTGTACGAGAGCGAGGGTCGGGGTATGTATGGAGGAGGATTAGGGGACAGACAGACAGGCAGGGAGGGAGGGCAGATACAGCATAACAGAAAAAGAGGTATAAGCTCTACTAGTGCAAGTGACAAAGCCTGACGGAAATAGATGACAACAGGGAGTGGCACTGAGAGACACGGTAAAAATAAAAGCTATCAAGAAATAAAAGAAAAACACAAAGTGACACCTGCCGTTAATCCACAAAAGTGAGAATGTAATTAGGCCGTGCACCTGAGTCAGTGTGCAAGTTCAAATGATATTGTAGTGCTAATCCTCTTAGCGATAAACCAAAAATCAAAGGGAACTTCACTTACCCTGCCAGACTCAATATAATGTAATAAGATTCTGCGCTTTTCTCTCATACCATTACAGTCACTAGTCCAGCTGCAATAATTGACCTTGGAGAGTAGTAAACATGTGGTGTTATAAATACATGTGATAAATAGCATGTTTTGTTAAATACAATGCTAAGTACTTCAATAGTTAAACTACCGTGCTGCAACTTTAAGTGATACTGTAGTGCTAATCCGCTTATGATACTTGGGAAAAAAAATCAAAAGAAACTTCACCTCCTTAACTGTGCCTACCCACCGCTCAATACAACATTGATTTAATAGGCTCGGCTGCTTCGCTCCCATTACTCCAGCAGTACCCTTGAACAATCTTTGACAAACGCTAGTTTTTTTTTTTTTTTTTAAAGGAGATCCATGTTGCAGTAACAATGTGCTAGCACTAGGACTAGGGTGAAACCTGCTGATATGACGGGTTAAAAATCTAACGCTAGCAACTATAACCAGTCAAGAAATGCTATGTTTACACAATCAGTCAGACATTTATAATCAAGGTGAATCAAATAACTGAGCCTGTCACAATAATCACTATATCAATTTACCATTCAGTATGTTCAATATGTTGGGAGTCAACATTTATTGAGTAAATTTTTTTGTGCTTTAGGGTTGAATAAATAACTTCTATGACTCATTATAGATGGAAATTAACTACTAAAATTTTTCATTATGCTATTCATTTATTGCATATTGTACCATATTGTAAATTTAGAACTTACTTTTGGGATGATTCTGCCTTAGGGTTTGTCTATATATTGCATTTGTTATATGTTATCATGACAGGCCTACACTATTTTTGCCCCTATGGCACCTGCAAGTTTGATTTATACATATTTGAATTATACAATTGTGGCTTTTCTTCATTATTAATGCAAAAATGGATTTGATTAATATCAAACTGAGATTACTTGACAACTGTTCTACACTTTTAAATGGGTCCTCACATTATGCAGTAAGTGGTCATAAGATACTAATACACCATTATAAAGAACAAAGATATCACATTAAGCCTGTGGAGAGTAAATGTTTAAGATAACATGCACTATAATTTGTTCCAGTTATCAAAGAAGCCCTTTCCTTTTTAACTGTGCATACTGGCTGCTCAATACAACCAATAGTATAATGGGCCCTGGTCCCTTCCACCCATTACTTCTGTACTGCCATTCTTTCAGCAATAACAGGCCCTTTGGCTTTCAGACAGCTCTCTTCCTCTCCAATAACGGGCTCATAGAGGCGAGGAATAACTCAGTCTTATTGGAGCTTCCTTGACACGTCTTACAACCCCCATAGGGCCGCTTAATAGGCGATGACATCATGGCTTTTTAACACGCGGGGTGGTCATGTGACGTTTGGTGAGGTCATGGCGCCTGCTCGATAAAAGAGAACACTACTGATTGAGTAAGTACAACCAATTTATGTCCGAGGAAATTACATAATGTGCCAACAAATGGAATAAAGACTTTAGGTTGTTGGGGTGTTTCTCCTTTCTCCTTATAGCTTGTGGATAACCATGTACTGCAAACAGAGATCCAAAGATGTGTATTTTTAAGGCTAATGCTGATACCTTTTTTATTTTTTAAATCTAGGACAGCCCATGGCCATTATCCTCTGCCAATATGGGCCAAAATGTAGGACAGATTTTGATAATTTCCCCCAAAATAAATAATTTGAAATGACTACTGATTCAATTACTGTCTATATATAGTACTATTGGATTTGATACCCACACCCCTGTTTCACTAAAAATACATAAGAGAGCAGAGCAGTGCAGTTCTTAAATGTTCAAATTAAGCATCAGATCTTTCATTTGAAGAGTTGTCAGCATAAACAAAATACTGGCTGCGCTGAAGATGGAAAGCTGCTAGCTGATAAGATAAAAGTGCCAAATGTCAAATTGCAATAGAGAGTTTTAGATAGTGACCGCTGCATATCAATAACACAGCAGCTACAGTTTTGTAAATATTCTGACTCAATGTTGTTCGAGAGCAAGCTCTATTTGGCTTTTTGATACTTGTACATCTTTTTGTCAGATCAAATATAAGGACACTGGTGTTACAAAGAGATGATAGAAAAGGGTGGGATGAGGGGTGGGTTAAGGGGTTGTGAGTTTTGTTGTTTTATGTATTTGTTCTTGTTTTCATGTTTATTATTATTGTATTGCTTAAAGGTGCATTGTGTACTGAGAGTCCATCAAATGCTTTTCTCAATGGAGATGTTATTGCTTTGTCTGGAATATATCACAGTATGATATTAAACCTTCTACCTATCTTCACTGAGATCAAACCAGACCAAGTTACAGGTCAGATCTGTGGAGAGGAAACCATGATCACAGTCAGAATGCATGTTTTATTAAGTAAGTCTGAGCAATAAAACCACCTGTAATTTATAAATATAATGTAGAGCTGTTTAATGTCATAGTGTGGAACATTTCAGGCAGAGCAATGACATCTCCATGGAAAAAAGCAGACTCTTCACCAGAAAAGTGCACCTTTAATATTTGTTACATGTTGGGCTGGTCTAGGGTAGATTTGGCACTTTGGTAAAGGTTGATAAAAAATTATGGAAAATGATAGTGTGAATGCACAAAAAATATTATTATTATTTTTTTTTTATAAAAAAGTGTAAAAATGTGAATGACAAAAATAAAAATAATCTAACAATCTTTTTATTTTATTATCCTTAATAAAAAAGTAAAAAAGTCAGATGATATTTGCCACTGACGTTACCTGTCACCATGTTAAGCCTGTAAATGCATGGTGTAAACAAACTCTGAATCTAGCTATGCTTCTGCAATACAAACTAAGCAGTTCCTTTGAAATAAAAAATGAGGCCTTACTGGTGACCAATAACAAACACCACTGCTTACAAGGGTCTAGCGTGTGCAGATAATGATGAAGGTTACCTTGAAAGCTGCACTCGACGCGATAAAAATGCATCATGAGCCCTGATCGTAAAACCCAAAAGAATGGCTGTATCATTTCATGTGCCGCCTCCTTGCAAATGCCAAGCCACATCTCGAGTCTTATCAATTATGGAGCAGATTGGCCTGTGGAGGTTGAGAGGTAGAGTACGGCGCAGGCAAAAACATGGGAGGGGAATATCTGATTATGCGAGTGGGGCTACACAGCGGGAAGCGGGGTACAGCAAAACAACAGCCTCCTCCGCGAGTGACTTCATCCTGTCCTCATGCATAAAGCCTTCAGGGCGGTAAAATATCTCCTTTTAATGAACATGGCATTTTAACTTTTAATGGTACAAGTTCATGTCTTAAACTTCGATGGTTGAAATGCATGAGGAGTTGGCATGCAGTGTGCCCAGTGTACTAACCTGCAGTGGACAGAGATGGGTCCGTCTTGTCCAAACTGCTCCTTGGTTTTATGTACTTGACCAATGAAATCGATGAATCCTTCTCCAGATTTGGGGACTCCTTGCTCTGGCCAATCGGTGAACTGGAACTGCCTAACTGTTCTTGATTGACCATCCTACATAACAACAGAGAAAAGGCAACAGATTAGAAATACACAGAATTTTTTAAACAAAGTACAATATTTTTTTTTACTTTCTGGAGGTTGCATGTCATCTGCATGACTCAATGGCTATAGAAAGTTACAACCACACTTTGGAACATTCTCCATTGAGAATGTGATTTAAATAATTTTCTTCCTCTCAAAATTCTCTTCTCCGCTCAAACTAGTAAAAAAAAGTGAAATTTGTAAATTGCAATGGATACATGTATACTTGTGTTCATTTATCAGCTCAAAAATAAATTATAAAATAAGTAAATAAAATAAATCAGTAATTTTTATGCCAAATTGTAACATATTATGGCCAAAACAACAAATACAAATCTGGTTTGTGGAGATGAAAACCCACATATAGTAAGGACACATGTTTTTTTAGAAAAGCTTTTTTAACGCTAAGCTTACATTAAAATATAACATCAATATACTTACAAGCACTTTATTGTACTATATATTTTCTTTACCTTCAAACTCTGTATCTATTTGCTTGCCATGCCATGAGTTTGTGTGAGCGGCATGAGTTAAAGCTAATCAATAGTGTATCTGCCGTGACAAGCGTCTTCTCCCAGACACCATGTTGAATAGGATAATCCTGCTATTGGATCGATAGAGCTACCTGATGGATGAGTGCAAGGAGTGGAGCAAAGAAGCAGGAGCCGCACTAACACAGCGATAGAGAGATGGGATGATTCAAGTTGAAAACAAACTCCTGACACACTGACAGGGCACAAGGCGAAATGTCAGCTGGACCAATTTATTCCACTATTGATATTATTTTGTGTAGCTCTGAGCAAAACAATATCAGTGCTCTGATAAAGGCATTTTGTGTGTTCTATTTTCAAATACAAACACAGGGGGGAAAATCTGTTAAAATAAGTAAAAACATTTGAATTCAGAATATTAATATTTATTTTGTTTTGAGTAAAGAAAGAGATTTTGGGTTCAGTTGAATTATGCGCAATTGTATTACTGAATTCGTAGATATTTTTCTTACAATTTGGAAAAAAATAACTTAAAATTAATGAATTAAAGGTGCACTATTTAGACTTTGTGGTATGCAGTCTGCCACCTGCTTGTTATCGCCATGTTATCCTATGGTTTTAATTAATATGTCACACAATATGGCATTTAACATATTTTGGATTTTATTGCCAATATACCCTGAAAAACAACAAAGTATTCTAACTTTGATTCTCCACAGATATGACTTGTAACTTGGGAGATAAATAGGTTTGATGCCATACTTAAAACTTAAATATAAACTACAAAATCTTTAGTCTGAATAAAGCCTCATGTACATACTGTATTTGTTTTTGCAGTGAAGGCCCACAGCGGTGATGGGAAAGTATTATTTTGCTATAGCTTCATGTGGCAATACACAACATTTGTCTGCTACCTGTAATCTGACTACAGAGAAAATGAATGTCAGAGGGTGTGCCAATTCAACCTGTTTGGAGACTATGTAAACCCGCTGTGTCTTTGCCAGCTGTTGCGTTGCCATCTCTGCTTCCCTTCCAAATCCACGCTGTATCCTACCACAGCACCTGACACTTACACAGATGTGGTTTTAATAAATTACAGTCTACAATAAGCAGCCTCTTTTGTTTCGCGACTCTTTGCCTGTTACATTTTGCACCGCGTGTCGTCTATTCTGTGTTTCTATTCACCACAAACATTCTGCCTCAGTGGGGGGATTAAAAAATGAAAAGGGGATGCAAAGACAATAACACAACAAACCATGCTAACTGAAGAAAAAAGGAAAGACGGGGAAAATTTAACACACAACCTGAGGGCCTACGCTACCGTGTCAAATTGTGTGATTAAATACGTGACTGGCTCGCTAGATGTGAGAGTCGAGGCGTGGAGTCATTGCTATTACTGCGCCAAGGCATGCAACATTCACCAACACACCAGCAGACAGCAACTGGTTAACCTCTATATGTACATTCAACACTGCAAAAAATGTATCTAGATGAGTTAAAATTGCTTGAATTAAAGGCGCTGTACATGATTTTTACTGTCTTGAAAACATGACAAACAGAAGAAGTTCATTTTAAACAGTTTGCAGTGGTCCAAAGTAAATCCTCACTTACCTTACACATTCAGAGCATCCTAGTTGTGCACTGCAATAATTTTATAAGCGCTTTCCCCAACTTTCTGAGTATAGTTTTGTCATCACTGTAAAGTTAATTAGCATACTAACAGTGTATTTCCTGATTATCAGACAATTTAATGCTTTGTAATTAGATGTAGACAGCACATTTATTTTGACCTAAAGAGCTGCTTATACAATATATATGTCCTGAGGCAAGACGATTTTGCTCAAATACATGAAAAAAATCGTATACAAGCCCTTTAACAGTCAAGTCTAACATAGCCAAAGCCACTGAAACACAGATGAAAATACTTCATATTTTGCAGTAAACATGAAGAGGTAAAAAAAAAATCTTGCTTCTTATTCTCTGTGCACCCATATGTGCTATATTTTTTCATGGTGCTCATAAAATATTCAAACGTACAAACATGATTGCACGAACGGAAAACTCAATAACCGCAGGTCTATAGAGGAACATAGATTGGAAAGATGTAACTTTGTTGACTTCTTTCATATATTGATGTGGTGTAATAGCTATAGAATAGTAATCATACAAAAAATACTGTACAGTGTAAGATCCTTTAAGAGCTTGGAAGTTAGGTCCCTCTGGATTAGACATTTCCTTCATTGCTTTTCAAACCTTTTAGCACCTGTGTCATCATCCACTTCACGGGAGCTATGAACTGCATGAGAGTATCTAAACAGTGGCTTTAAAAATAGTCAAATATTATCTTGTGTTAATGGCAGTAGTGGATGAAGTACTCAATTTGTTACTCAAGTAAAAGTACACATACAGGGGCAAAAGATCACTTAAGTAAATGTAAAAGTATCACATGAAAAAAATCTACTTAGTAAGTAAAACTACTGGAATCCCTGTAAGGTATTTTCACAGATTTTTTAGAACTATTAAAGAATCAAATGTAATAGTTTTTATAAAGAATTTGGCTAATTTTAAGTGATTCAACGGATTTCTTTATTTTTCTAGATGCTGTTGTGATTGTGTAATTGGTTTGCTCAAAATTGGGACTCAAATTAAATATGCTAAAAATAAGTCTCAGCCATTTTAGCAAGTCTCAAGGTAGTGGCGTAGAAAGTAGAGATATGTGCTCTCAAATGTAGTGAAGTTAAAGTGAAAAGAATCCACAGTAAAATATACTTAAGTAAAGTACAGATACTTTACATTTGTACTTTTACTTTTGTCCTTCCACCACTGGTCAATGGCCTACATTAGTCACTATGCACATAACACAATTTGAATGAGTAATTGCACTAATAGGTTTGAGTGGTACTGATGACGATCTTACCCTTGCGTCTGTAACCTTGAACTCCCTCAGGATGTACTGTGGCATGTTATATTCAGCCATTGGATCCACCACAAAGTACTGGTATCTGGCTGAACGCTCTGCTGGCCAGTACTGATGGCACTTTTCCTGTAAGAAAACAAATCACAATTTTCACTTGGACATGTATTTAAATGTCATTCTTATTTTGTACCATATTGGAGTGCATCTTACCCTTCCCATCTCCCTAAGTTTGGTCAACATGACTACAATGGTTGAGTTGTTCTCCCAGAGCATTCTCCAGAAGTCTTCTGTAGTCTCGGCTAGAGGGCCTTGTGTTGCAATATAAGCCCTTTGTTGCCTGTATCAAAAGAGGAATAGAATAAGTGAAATATAGATAAGCATTCAAAATAAAACATCATAAAAACATCACAATGTGACAAGGTTTAATTTAATATCAACTTTACTACCGCCTAGAGGAAATTTGTCTTGGTCTGCAGTGCCACATAAGGTGAGACACCGCAGGTGATTTGGAAAAGATCTTTTAACTTTAGAGTTTTTTTGTTTTGTTTTGTTTTTAATAGTTTACACATACAATGTAAGAAAAATGCATTACATCAGTTTTTCATCACATAATCAGGAATTTTATCTTTTAAAAAGGGACAATTACAGGAGTGATTTTGGATTTCTTATTTTTATTTTCTTATTCTGAAAATTTGAAATTACACGTAAATGACTCTTTAATCAGGCTTAGAATTAGAATCTGTCAAAATACTTTAAGGTGTGATTAAAAAAAGGTATTTTGAAGGTACAATGTTGTGCTTTTGTCTTAAAGCACAGTTGCACTGTTTTCTTATCTGTTTTATAATGTTAATGTTGTTTCATCATCAAAAACATCCCAGCAGTGGTGTTTTGTTTCATTCAAACATATTTAACACAAAAATCCTGCATTTTTGTCTTGTATCCTGTGTCACAAACTGAAACCTTGTGATGTCATGTGGTAATACAGTAAGTGCTCCACTGTCTTTTTAAATACACCTTCACTTGAATCATTTGAATAATTTCAGAAATTGCCCACTGAACAAAAGGTAAAAGGCAGGCGTTAACTTGAAAACGGTTCATGACATCACAAGGTGGAACAGAGCATTTTGAGTGATGGAGATGAAGACACACTAATAATAAAGGATCACTCAAGTGTGTCAATGAAATAAAACATAACTCCATGTAGGCAACGACATTATAACATAGCTTAAAGCTCACAAGAATCAATTTTTGTCTAATACAGGACTTTAAAAGCTGCAAGACACAGAATTCCAAAACACAATCAGAGAACATTTGTCCAACATAATCAAACTCAGCACCATGAATACAATATTTGCTTTGTACCTGTATCCATCTATGAAACTGGCGTTGATGTAGTCCGAGCCTTCCAAGCCTCTGATTGGCTGCAAACAGACACGCGTGGTCTCGTAGGGCATGATATTGACCAACCGATTCTTGAACTTGTTGCAGGGAAGGTTGGCACTGATGAAGCGCGACGTGTGGGCTTTGGAGTTAGCCAAACGCTGGAGGGAGAAAGATGGAGAGATTGTGAGAAATATTCAGAGTAAGGCAAACAAAATGGCGGCACTGCAAAAGAGATGTCCAAAATCCTTATAGAACGCGTAGGATGAGAGGTGTGGAGATAGACTAAGATGAAAAGAAAATGTAAAAAGCTGAGAGTTGGGCAGAATTGAAGAGATGTTACAAAAAGGAAAGCCGAAGCAGCGATAAGAGCGATGAAAGGCAAGTGCACAGTGAATATATAGACCCATATTGAGCTGTGAATCAATGGAAGATTCAAGATTCAAGTTCAATCTAATCTGATGGGGAAGCTATTTATTATATATCTATTATATATCTATGCATAAAAAAAAAACAACTATTAGAACATGTATACTTAATCTGCTACTTTTGAGGTCTGGTTAGGTTGCTTTTAATGACTTGGTAAAATTTGACACAGCCAGACTAACAAGCCAACAAAAAAGACATCAAAAAGTGGGTCAACCGTGCCTTTGATAATGCCACGTTTGTATGTGTGCATAAAATATGGTTGAGAATCATACAGCTCTGCTCACAAAAGAAAATACCAAGTGCGCCAATTGAAGAGAGTGAAAATGTTGACACTTAGGTTGAATAATGAGAAAACCTAAGCCTTTATGTTGAATATATTGTTAAAAATGTCTAGTATTTGTGAAGACTTAGCCATATTGAAGAACTTGAGAGGAAAAACTAGGGACCAATCCCACTGAAAAACTACATATTTCATTTCGGATATTGTGAGGCGAATTGGAATGAAATGCTGTATCCGTGACAACACCTTTCCTATTCCCACAATCCCTTGCTAGTGTCCTCTCTTTGATCCGTGTTTCACAAAGGTGGCCTGGCAGAGCTCAAAAGCTGCACCATGGAACATTGCAACTGGGAGCAGGTAAATGTGCCAACCCTGGCAACGTCGAATTCAACATGGCAACCATTTACAGGGTACTAGTCAAACGGGATTACACTTAATATGGCTTTGTAACGACATGGATTTGGTTTGAAAATGAAACAAAAAACAAAACATTGCAAATGTAATGGAAAACTAGGGGAAAACTACTGGCTTTCTGGCATTCGGGGTTCATTTCACATGGTCAAATAAACACAGAAACACTAGCCTACTTAGTTTAAGACAATATTGGATTCATATTATAAACGATTGTTGCAATACATATTTCTAAAAACAGCTGGATGTACTAACTAACTATTTTCTCTGGAATCCTAAAAGAGAAAATCCAAACCACAAGTATCTTTCCAAAAGCAGGACTGTTAACAATTAAGCCACTGGAACATGTCTTACCAGAATAGTGATAGCAAGAATAGTTCAACCACTTTTCATTACAAAACAGCTTTGACTCTCAATTTAAGTGTCACTTTTGTGAGTCTTTAAAACAAAGACAAATCATGAATGTCATTTAATTGAACTGGGATCCCTGAAGACCATATGCTACTTGTTGTGGTAGTCGTGTCGTGTTCAGAAATGTCAGTAAATGCTGGATATGTCTTAATAACACATTTTGAAATGTGATATCTTTCTACAAAGAAATATTGAGATAAACAATAATATTGAAACTACCTTGCACCACTGACACAAAGCAGGATAATGCTATTAATCCAGTTTTTAAATAGGCAGTATCATTTAAAGAGCAGCAACAAATGAATGGTAAAAGCAATGAATGGCAGAATGGACCAATAATTCGCCATAGAAGTGATTTATTCAACCCTATACAGCTCAAACCTTACTTTAACACATAAAAATGGCAAAATCTCCCCACTATTGTAAAGAAAGAGTCAACACAGTACATATAAACGGCGCACTATGTAATGTTTTGGTTGGGGGTCCATCACCTGTTTCTGTCAATGATTATGCCATTTTTCTGCCTGGAATGTTCCACGCTAGTAAATGTTCTATCTTATATTTATTAAAGTACAGGTGGTTTATAGCTCACAAATACAGGCATTCAGTTCAAGTCTCCACAGATCTGACCTGTATCTTAGTCAAGTTTGGTCTCCACGAAGATAGAATACCTGTAATTTATTAAATGTAAGGAACTGTTTAAAACCATACTGTGAAGCATTCTAGGCAAAGCAAAAACATTTCCATGAAGACAGACGATCCACCAGAAAAGTTACAAAATGCACCTTGAAGCCCAAAAATACATTGTTCCAGCTTTCATACACTGAACGATAAGCTGAAATAGTAATTATCGTGACAGGTCAAGTGAACTTTTGTCTGACAGGATTTTCCACCGTCCCATCTGAACTACATTTCCCAGCAGTCCGGAGGCTTAACTCTGTATGACTCCATTTTCCCACCTGAGATCGACGCTGGCCTCCCATCCGGTCCCTGTAGAGACCCATTCTGTCGGAACGCTTCCTAAGTGCCACGTTAGCATACAGCCATTCCTTTGTTCATTAGCCAAATGTCCCTCCCTCCACTTGCCCCGCCATCCACCTCCATTTGTCATCATCAAGTATTAATTACTCCTCTCCCCTATTCTCATTCACACACACCTCTTTCACTATCCTCGTAGCTCCATGGACGTTATTAATCCCCGTTCCGAGTTTGAACGCCAGCTCAGCATTCTCCACGTTACAGATGGCGCTAGAGATTCCATCGCCGTTGTGCGCCAGTGAGTTTTAAAAAAGGGTCAAAACACGCCGCCACTATTATTGTTTCTTGGCAGGGGGCTGCGTTGATGAATTGCGATGGGAACATGACGGATGATTTTCAAAGTGTGGAGTCCAAGGTCAGCAGATACGAGCGGGAACACTGAAGGTAAGGTGTGTTTGGAACTTGATGATTGTTGAGATCTTTAATAGAGATCTATGTAAACATTTTGCATGACTCTTTCTCCTTACTTCCTTGCTTGCTTTGTCAGGATGTTTTTATAAGCAAAGCATATACGATAAACCCATAATGCTTCCAGCCAATGTGAAATCCTTTGTCATGTGCCCGCTTGATTTAACTCACTTTCTTTTCTTAAGCATATTATTCCTAATCCTCAAAAAATGAACTTTCAGGCTAATCATGAAAAGCTTTGATAATTCCTCTTTTCTTTCAAGGCGGAATTACTATACAAATTCTGTGTGAAATGATTGAAGTGGGGCATGTAGGAATAAACAGGCTCTCTTTCTAGTGCTGCTCTGTGATCTTATTACCTGGACAGCCCGAGTGAACTGACAAATAGTGCTAATGTAAATAAAGCCTCTTTAATCTATTTGCAACTTACCTGCAGCGGAGAGGTAATACATCTTAAGGAGAAGTGCTTTTATCTTAAATGGAGATTTAGGATTTTTCTTTGTAATTTAGATGCTTGTAAATTGATTTATAGGGTTACCCATTTTGACTGTCGTGAATGAAACAAAATAATATTAATCTTGCTATTTTGTCTCTTACCAATTTTGCTACTTTCATTATGTAAAATTTGACTTAAACATATTTTTTAAAATCTGTGCTATTATATTGTAATGTGAGAGCTACTATGTCAAAGGAATTTGACAACAGTTTAACAATGTGCAGGTACTTCATAAAATGTCCAAGATAACATTTAAACTATATCTAACAAAAACAAACCCCATTATTCTGAAAACCATGGATAAAATGAACAACTGCATTTTGCTAGATTTTATAAAATGGCAATAGAAGTTCAAATTTGCATTTCACAATATACGGTAACGGACACATATTTGTAGAGACATACCTTGAACTCTAGCTCCATGCCTGTGACGTGCTCGCCACTCTCCACCTGGGCCAGCTTCTGAATGTAGGAGTAGAGGCTCCGTGCAGCCACTTCTGTGTTCCCACAGGCCACAGCCTCCAGCAGCGCGTCATGTATGAAGCTGTACTGGTCCTCTGTCTGCACCATGTAGTTCCTCTGTGAGCGCATGAGTGTCACATGACCATAAATGTCCACTGTCTTCTCGTGCTTGATGCGCTCCAACATGGCGTCGATGACAATGAAGCAGCCTGTTCGGCCCACACCCGCACTGTGGATACAAAACATTTTGGTGTTAATCATTTCAACTGTAACACTTTTTGAAGTGCCCATATTACTCTATTTTCTGATGTATCTTACAATGTTATTTCCTCATTAAAAACATACTTAGAGTTGTGTTTTGTTTCATTCACCCATGTTTAACACACAAATCCTACATATTTTATATTTATTTAGTGCTTTTCTCAAACTGAAAACACTCTATTCCACATTGTGATGTCATGTAGTAATATGGGAAGTGCAGTGTGTTTTTAAACTTCATACACCTTCACTAGAATCATTTGGATAAATTTAGCCCTCTCTGAACAAAAGATAAAAGGAGCTGTTAATTTGAAAAGTACAGCTTCATGACATCACAAGGTGGAACAGCATTATGAGCTTTGGAGACGAACTAATAATAAAGGATTACTCAAACATGTGTGAATGTAACAAACTACAACTTTGGGTATGTTTTGGTTTACCTAACAACATTCTAACATATCTTAAAACTCATAAGAGTCAGTTTTGCATAGCATGCAGCGTACAATGCACATTGTGTTAGTCATGACAATCTGGCCTGTGTCCAATTTTCTGGCTGTACTAATGAAGCTACAGACTTTCAAAACAAAATGTTCTCTTCTTGCCAAATACTGATTATTGTATGTACCACTGGGATTGAGCTGCTAAGATTATCAAGTTCAATTCAGCCTGTTTATGAGAAGAGATATCTAAGTATCAAAGTTTAATCACTATTTCATCATTGCACTGTTTCTCCTTAAGACCTCTTACATAGCTGACATGTAAATTACTAAATTTATTTCTATATTTGTAGTTTTATTTGAATTTATTATTTTCATTTATATTTCTGCTCTTTCTTATAATGTGTGAGCTAATGAGTCCAAATAATTTTCCTTATGGGTCAATAAAGTTTGTCTTAGTCTAAAGTTTTTTTTTGTTTTTTTTTTTTACAAGAATAAGGAACATTGTTAATATAATGAGTAATAGTGTCTATTAATTTAAATAAAAGCAAACTGGAGTAAAATATACTGCACACAATGGAGCAAGATGATTGAAAGGACAAACAACAACAACAAGAACACAATGAAGAAAGAAAGTTATCATATTTCACAGTTCTCATCTTTTGTTTTGGAGTCACCGCAGCTGTGCTTAAAAAAAGAAAGGTTTCAATTTGAATAAGCCCTTTGAGAAAAGTTGCTTGTAAAAATAGGGCGAGAGAAAATAAGATAGAAGGGGATTACGGAGAGCCTTTTGACAATGAAAGTCGAAAAGCAAAATATGCCTTGAAGAAAAGATGATGTGGACGACGAAGAAAAGAAAAGGATGTCTGGAAGAATAGAAGCATGTGTTTGAATAATGTGTGTTACATAATGCGTGGAAGCAATTCTCCTCATGGCCGTGCTCACACAAACACTTGGAGAGGAAAGGCCACTCTTTGAAGTGTAGGTTAGCCTTTATGTTTACCCTTAAGTCGGGCTAAATCACAGCGGTGCAGAATAAGAGCCCTCAAAGCCTGCGAGCTGTCCTACTTATAGCCATAAACACATTAGCATTGTTATAAAAAAGTCCTGTTGGTTAATGAAGTGGCAGCAGAGGCCGACCTGCAGTGGGCGATGATAGGACCAGCGTCTGGGGGGTTGCAGGTCTTCACCCGGCGGAGGAAGGCCAGGAACGGGGTGGGGTACTCGGGCACGCCATGGTCAGGCCACGCTGTGAACTGGAACTGTCTCACCTCACGCTTTTCACTGGAACCATTCTAGAGAAAAGAGACAGAAAAATAAACTCTTGGTTATTATGTGTATTGATGGGAGTTAGAATGTGTATTAAAACTGCAGTTATATTAAAATAAGTGGTTGAATGGCTGTGCAAAAGATTGACATTCATAAGTAATAGATTTAAGACAATAGAATTCATTCACAACCCATCTGAATAATATAATTTAATTTTAGCAGCATATCTGTCGATTCCTATTCAAAATGTCAAAAAAGTCTACTATATAGTGTGCCGGCACTTATATGTCAGAGCTGTAACGTTCCTGCAGCTCAGAGACTCTCCAGATACATGCAACACCCACATTACACAGCGGTCTGTCAGCCTCGTCTCCAACTCAACTCTTGATGTTTCAAAGATACAAGCGGATCCAGGGAGGAGGATAAGAAGAAAGAAAAATCTCTTGCATCTTTCGGTCGTCCTCTCTTGCCTCAGAAGATCCTCTAATGGAGGTACTGTTTGCATTTCAATGCCGTGCTTCTGCTGCTCGGGCAGAAGGATTTTTCTCCTTTCTGAATAAATGAGTGCAGTAATTAAGAGCAAACTGACCTAGATCCTATTTCCCTTATTTTTGACATCCCTGCTTTAGAGCTAAGTTAAGGTAGAGCTTTGTTTGTAATTGGTGCTTGGGTGGTGCTGTTTTCTCCTTAAATTTGTAGAGGATTTAGATGAGAACATTGTGGCTGACTGCACAGCACACATGCATAATATAGAGGCATATCATGGCTGCTGATTTGCAAATGCACTGTGTCTGTTGGTGTGCTGGAAAAGTACATTGAAAACAGGTCAGCTGGAATCAACAGCACTGGAGAAGGTAAAGGCATGGGTATACAGGGCTGGATTCTCTTAGTAAATGAAGGAAAGTCAAACAGATGGTATGAAGTTTTGAGTTTTATCCTTGCCGTGTTTATATGTGCCTTGATGATGTCATACATGCATCTTAAGTACGCTGTATTGACCTTGTAGAAAGACATGATACTCCAATGAACTACACTTATGCAAAGCTCGACAATATCTGTGTACCAAAGTCAGTGTCTTTGCTGTGTTTAGATGTGTGTTGTTGTGTGAATGTGTGTACTGCCACAGAAGGCTGAGAGCAGTCTGCCAATTATGTATATTGAGTTTCTTTTCTGCTCACTTTACCTAAGTGCTCCAATTTGGCAGGCGCGCATAAACAGATGATCTATTGAGGAGGGGGAGAACAAGCTGAACAAGGTAAAAGACAGGGACGACAAGGACAGTGGCTAAGAGGGGTTGTCCAAGTACAGTGGTATTCCACACAGACAGGATAAAGAGAAAATGTCTGAAATACATCTCCATTATGCGTAAAAGCCACTATAAATCATGATACATAACATATAGATTTAAAGGTGCACTACTTAACTTTTCTTGGGAGGGTACTTCACATGCTAATCTCCATATAATATAGATGTACTTAACTGTTCAGCCTTAATTGTTTCGCAGTAAGGGATTAAACTTATCTGTCTCCATGGAGGCGAGCAGGCAAATGTACAGATCAGTCTGGTTAGGTTCGGTGGACAGGCAGGTCTGCTTATACCCAAGTGTTTCTGAACCATAACATCACCTCTAATAAAACAAAGCTGGATAGACTTTTAATGCCATGCTGTGGAACATCCCAAGCAAAGAACTCATATCTCCCTAAAGAGAAAAATATGCCGTACCTTCCACCAGAAAAGTTACACAATGCACCTTTAATAATATGTATATAAGGTTACGTTTACACTGAAATGAATCGCTGTATCACTGTATCGCTGTATCGCTGTATCGGAAATGATTTGCGTCCAGACATGTCATTTCTGTGTTCATTCCCTATCCACACAATAATGTGAAACCGCCTGAAACGCTAGACACATGACTAGGCTGACGTCATGTGGGTGGTAAAAACAAGGAAGCGGAGCACAGTGTATGAAGTTGCAGAGGCCGATTTCAAGCCAAGGAAGATGTCAAGCGTGAAAGTAGTAAGTATTTCTAGCTGCGCTGTTTCCTGTTTGTCTTTGGTTTGTTAAAATGTTTTCTGCAATAACGCCACATGACCAATGTCACGAACCCAGTTCGAATCAGGAAGGCGCACGTCACAGTGATGTGGTCCAATAAAGACGGCAACTAGAGCTCCTACATCAGCGTATCAACGTTTTCAGGCGTCCACACAGTGCTGGATCAGGTCTGTACTAAGATGAATTCGAGGGAGCTGGCGGCACCAGATTGTTCCGTCTCTGGAGCCGTTTTCCATCAGATTAGTGAGGATGAACACTGCATCCACAACGAAAACGCCTCAAATACATACTAGTGTGGATGGGGCCTAAGTATGTGTTTACAATGAAGCTTACCTTGTGCAAAGAGAAAGTACGAACGCAGAAAGTGGCCAATTCTATTGTATCCAGCAACGTCACTTGTGTCATTCCATAGGTTTCCGTGCCCCTACTAGGCCAGTACTGGTCACATTTAATCTGCAAGAAGAGAAAAAAATTATCATTAGTCCAGAATGGTTGAATGTGGTTATACATTTCAAAGATCTATTCATTCATTTTCGTTTCCATTTTTTGGTGATGGCAAACCTATCTTACAAATGCAAATTAGGAGGCAATTACAAGGCTTACAATTAAGCTTGTACTCTGAGTTAGAGCCTGTTCAAAGTAGAAAAAAGAGGTAAGAGGCAATTAAAGTAATTCCGTTAAAATATAGGATGGTGTTCAAACTAGAGAGATGTGAAGTTAGAATATCCAGGTTACAGTGTCACTAGAATACTACCTCACCAGTTTCCTAATGCTCTTATAGTCTGCAATATTAATGTGATACAGAGAGTGGGTGTAGCTCTGTCTTGAATTAAACTCCATACACCTTCACATTTGGATGAATTTCAGCCCTGGAATTTCCAATCTCTACTAAATATAAGGTAAAACTTGTCAATTTGAAAACAGTTTAATAATAAAGAGTTACTCAAATATGTGTGAAAGAAACAAAACACAACTCCGTGTATGTTTTTGATGTATTCTACTGAAAACTGAAAAAAGATGCCAGAGACAGCTGAAGTAAATCTGTATTCTAAATATAAAAATAAAATGCTTCAAACTGGGGAGATGTGAAGTTGGACTATCCAGGTTACAGTGTCACTAGAATACTACCTCACCAGTTTCCTAATGCTCTTACAGTCTCCAATATTAATGCGATTCAGAGAGTGGGTGTAGCTCTAACTTGAATTAATATCTTATTCTAAGCATGTGAGCACTTCCTCCTCACAGTGAGCCGTGCAGTTCTACATCTGAGAGACAACACCTGCTTTTGCCTGTCTCTCCCTTACCGCTGTCAGCGCACCTAATAAAGCCTCAGTCTATACGGGCGGTGACGGACTGCTGGACATGTGATGAGATGTGACAGCCAGTGAAGAAGACGTGCCTCTCTACCGGCTCCCGCTCCCATTTCCTGCTCGGCCTGACACTCAAGTTCAGCTGCGCGTTAATCCTGATGGCGTTTGACAGCAGGGAACGTGTATGCCACAAAACGGGATAGGTAAACAATCCGGCACAGCGTCAGGAAGACGAGCGGAGACAACCGGGGTGAATGAGCCTGATGTTGACACACGTTGGCTTTGACAGAAGGAGACTTGGCTTTTGACACTTCAACAAGCTCAATATGGAAAGTGAAGCAATATTTGGTTTGGCAAAGTGGGTGTGAAAGTCTTGAAGAAATACCTTTTTGCATTGAAATTAGGTCACAGAAGCTATGCCACTTTTCATTATGGGTCCTATATTATGCAAAACTGACTCTTGTGAGGTTTAAACCATGTTGTGATGTTACCTCATCAAAAACATACCCGGAGTTGTGTTTTGTTTCACTCACACATGTTTGTGTAATCCTTTTCCTGTCTGTTCCACCTTGTGATGCCATGAAGCTGTAATTTTCAAGTTAACAGCTCCTTTTACCTTTTGCTCAGTAGAGATTGGCAATTCCAGGACTGACTTTACCCAAATGATTCTAGTGAAGGTGTATGGAGTTTAAACCACAGTGGTGCACTTCCTATATTACTACATGACATCACATGGTGGAACTGAGTATTTTCCGTTTGAGAGAAGAACTGTTTTTGATTTAATTTTATGACATAGATCAGAAAATAGTGCAAAATGGGCCCTTCAAAGTGATCCTTTAACACCTATCTACACTGGTGCACTTTTACAGTTGTTTAAATTAGGGCTGGGCGACATGTGGATAAAAATCAAATTGTGATCTCATCCCTGTGTCGATATATATTTTGGTAAAATCACCTGCTTGTTTGCTTAATGTGCCTTCCACTACCCACTGCTCCTATGGTTTAACATCTCTCATGCTCTGAGTGAGTGAAAAATAGATTTAACCAATCACAGTGACGAGTGTCCTTTCAGAAACAAAATATGGCTTTAGTTACCTCTTAAATACTGTATAAGAGATACTAAGAAAACATGCATTGTGATAAAATTTAAATCATGATTCTATTCGATGCTCCAAGAAAATTGTGATATAATTTTTTAGCATATCACCCATCCCAAGTTAGGTAAGAGTAAGATGCTTATTTATCTTTACTTTAAATAAAACACCTTTTCCACTCAACAGATGGATGTGGGAAACACTGGTCACAGGTATTTCAGTCTATAACATATTGTTTTATTTTTATTTTTCATAAAGTTGAGTCTTCTCAGTGCTCTTTAAGTACCTCACCATGCTTCAAGCTCTACAGGGAATGTGCAACAGATTGTCATTTCCTTAGCAAATAAAGACAGAAAAACACCAGCAGGTCTGTGAACGCTCTCCCAGAGGATTCAGGGTCTTAAATCACAGAATATTAAAAAAGAAATCTGATTAGTGTTCAGCAAGGCAATGATAGGCACTGCGAGAATTATTATTAGGAATGTTCATCTTGACTTCTTAGTAGATTTATTAATAGATTATCTCTAACCCATATTTGTCTGATATATGAACAACAAATATTAAAAAGGGGGGGGATTACAGTTCTATAGGATATTAATTGCTAGCACATAACTTATTTAGATGTTACCTTTTGAGAATTTCTGAGAATGCTACAATAGCCAGACACAATGTAAAATGTAAAATGAGTCCCCCCTCCCATGCTAAGTCACTCCCCAGTCAGAGCGATGTGTAGTTCTCTAATGAAACTACTCCACATTGGATCAGGTTTGTGAAGTTGTAGTGTATTATTTTGTATCATGCTTTTGCTGATTTATGGAAAATTGCTGTGAAGGAGCATGGATAATGTAGGCTTGTGGGCTGAGCATTGCACAGAATCTTAAAGCTAACCGTAAGTATTCTAAATGGGCCTGGGAGAGATCGCTAGATTACTCAAACATGCATGGATGACATATAAAACCACTTCACTCATGTTTTTGATGATATATAATGTACCGTATTTTACGGGCTATTAGGTGCTCTGGATTATAAGACACACGTCATTAAATGGTCTATTTTCGAACTTTTTTCACAAATAAACCGCACTGGGCTTTAAATGAAACACAACAGTTCGATGGGTCAGTCGGACTTTGTTTGGCGCGTTCACGGTGACTCTGGGCTTTGTTCAATTGTGGCGTGTAGGGAGGGTGGTGTCTGGGACCGCTGAATTGTTGGCGTGTTCGCAGTGACTCAGTTGTTCAGTTGTGGCTCAGAGTGGCACATTGGACTCGCTTTTTCGGTTCATTCCTTCATTCCGTTCCTCGTCTGCGTGGAGTGATGAGTGTGGCTGCGGGTGTGTTTTTCGCTGCGCCGTCGCTGTCTGCTCCGTGCATGTTTGCGTGCGCTGTGGCTGGTGCGGCTTTGTAGTTTACTGAAGTCGTGCTGGGACACCCGAGTGGATTTGTGTATGGGGTGCTCTGGATTGCAGGGCGCGCGGTCATTTTTTGATGGGGTTAGAGGCTTAAGAGCGTGCATAATAGCCCGGAAAATACGGTAATATGACAGAAAGCTACATGTCTATTTTCCACAATACCCCCTCTTTAATTGATGTCTTTGTTTAAATTGATTTGAATAATTATTTTTTATGAATCACACCTCATGTTTCATTCTTGTTGTATTCTACTACTAGTTTCCAGCCTAGCAGCACAGTCTGTGTTATGACCAGTGCTGCAGCCACCTACCCGTGACTTCTCTTCCAGTCTGGTCATCATCACCACAGTGGCAGCCCTCTGTTCCCACACCATCCTCCAGAAGTCACCAAAGGTCTCTGGCAGAGGACCTTGTGTAGCGATGTAGGCGTTCTGCTTTCTGTAGCCGTCAATGTAGTTGGCGTTGATGTAATCGCTGCCTGTGATCCCTGGTGAGCAAAAAGCAAAGGTTAGAGTTTATGTTTTTTACACACATATCCTGGTAAACTGACAGCGCTCTGTTTGTGTCAACTGCTTAACAATTCCCACTATTCACACGCTTGCACTGATCTCCAATCAAGGGAGGTGTAAAAATTCAAGACTGAAAATTATTTTTCACACCATTTTCTGTTAAAATGGGTGAAAATTGGCAATAGGAAATTTGTTAAAACTAAGACTGCCCAGAGAGGTTAGGGCAAAGTGAGACTGTAGTGTGATGGTTTAACTACAGACTACTTGCTAAAAAGTAAAATATGGATACTATAATTACAATTTACGATACGTGTTAACTAAAGTATAAAACGATGCAAAAATAAAATGGTGTGATTGAATGCCCTGGCCTCCGATATAGTGAAACTACCATTCTAAAACCTGCACTAAACGAAAAAGACCATAAAGGAATACGTTGTAGTTATAATGCCCCGAAAATGTCAAAGTAGCAAAGAAAGTACAAAAAAAATAAACTTTAATCAGTGAGGGAGTGTGTCTGTGAGCACTTAAACCCAAATTGGTATGATTTAGTTAGCGTCTTATACATAATGAAATGTTTATTGTTGCACATTTTGGTCTTCATAAATAGCTTTCTCATAACTTCCTCTGATTTAAAGGTGCATTGTGTAACTTTTCTGGTGGAGGTCCGTCACCTGCTAGTTTGTATGGATATGTCATTGCTCTGCCTGGAATGTTCCACAATATGCCATTAAACTACCTTACATTTCCATTACATTACATTACTCCACCAGAAAAGTTGCATAATATACCTTTAAAATGTCCTGAAAATTTCAAAAAATACAAAAAAAATCTACTTTAATCAGTGAAGGAGTGCATCTGTGAGCACTTAAACCCAAATTGGTATGATTTAGTTAGCGTCTTTTACACAATGGAAAGTTTATTGTTGCACATTTTGGTTTTCATAAGTAGCTTTCTCATAACTTGGTCTGATTTAATAAACCAACACAGCACTCTTTTGGATCCCCACCAAACCTTTGTGATTCCCTATAGTTTATTGGTCCAATTTGTTCCCTATCACAGCATTCTTTGGTGCAGTTCTATCATGTTTCTCCGGCTCTGTGGGTCTTGGTTGCCTGTCGATTTGGCACAGCAGCTGTATCTGATTTAGCTCCATGGTTGAGGAGTGCACACCGAACGGGGGACAGAGAGGAGTAAATCAGCCTCACACACACAGTGGCGTCTGCTGTCCCACTGTTACCACACACCTCTATTACACACTGGATATTGATACTTTGCAGCTGATATCATCAATATTCCTTGGGTTGTAAAGCTAACTGTAAGCACTGCTCTGTTAGAAGCTCTGTTACCTAAATTAAACATAATCTGATCTTTATTTTAACCCAGTCTGACCAGAAAGAGCTGACTTAGTTGGAACTACAACAGGTGAGATGATTTGTGCTGTTAAACAAGTCTTTCTCATGTAAAATGAGCATTAGCCAGCAGTTTTTCAATTAGTCGCTGTCACCTTTTTGTTGTGTTTTTGTTAAACACCTAAACAGGACCATGAACACTATTTATCACAAACTGATGAAAATTTGTTGTTTAAATCCATTTTGTTTTGTGTTTTTTCTTGAGTTTTCAGACAATCTGCATTCACGTTCGCAAATGTGAGCATTATGCCACCATGGTAACTGACGTAGAGCACCCCCACCGTGGTGTCACTGCAGTATCAATTCAGAACAGACAGGAACCCCTCTGCTTTTTGGGTAGGCAAATTTGTCTGTGATAAATCGGACTGCATGTAGCTATCAAAGTACTTTTCGGTATTCTTTAATGCATCTGATGCTCTTGCAAAAGCCGAAATGTGTAGCTACTTGTAAGGATCTCTTTTGGTACGCTGGTGATCAAAAGAGAACAAGCTTTTATTCCCATCATGTGGTCCCAAACTGTCATCACGCTTTAATCTAGTGCTCGAAAAAGTTAACACTCGAAGCTACAAAGCAGGACGCCTGGTATTACCGCACTGCAATGATCCTACAAGGAATTCTGAGATCCGGTCAGTCAACAGGGATTTGGAGGTGAGGTTGGGACACTGAGAGACCAAATAAGGATGGAAAGATTTGCCTCATTTAACTCGGCGGAGGATGGCTACTAACTCATGTTTATTGTCTATGCAATGTTACCAACAGTAAACTACAATGATGGGTAGTGTTGACAAAAAATAAGAAGTAAATATTTGGGGGGATTGAACAGATAATAAACAGATAATACTTACAATCACCAAGAAACGTGTTAGAACTTGTCTATTAATGTTTTGGTTAAGGTTCAAGTTCCACACTTAAGTACAGAAATATATCTTATTTGGACGAATGCATTATACGTTTCTGTTCATTCTATCTTTATATATGAATAAATTAAAAGCACCATGACAGCTAGCATATTGCCAGCCCCTAAAATAGTACTTGCAGCAGAAGGTGCAACTGCTTGTTTCCGTGAATACTGCCTGCATGTTCCACAGTAGTGCATTCATTTATTTGACGAAAGCAGGCAGCGACACCAGGCCAATTTACCGGTCAGATCTATGGACAGGCAAACTCACTCACACTAAGAATGTAGTTTTTAAGGTACTTTTGAGTAATAACAACAGAAATAAATACAAGACGAATACATTTAAGGCCATACTGAAGAGCATTTCAGGTAAAGCAATAACATTTCCTTGGAAGCAGGCATGTGTAAGACCTCCTACGATAAAAGTTACACAATGCACCTTTAAGAGAACTGATACATGAGGTGGAAGAGAGTGTTTTCCTTATGAGAGAAGATCTAAATGTACAGGGGTTGTAGATTATAACATACAACATTATAATATAGATCAGAAAATATCTTAAATATCGTAATATGGGCCCGTTTAGAGAACTGATGCAATTACTGTTATTTGTTTTTAAAATTTAACATTGGCTCCTACCCAATGTAAACTCTCCAAAAAGTGTACAAGTACAAAAGTTGTTTCTGACAAAGTGCTCCAGCTCTGTAAAACCCTCTAATGTCGTCTTTGTAAACAAGATAATGCGCAATAATGGTGTGTCTAACAGCGAACATCTGACAGCGATAAGGCGCTACATCAGCCGTCTTCATTTAACCAAACTTCACTATCCCTCCCTCCTCTGTCAAGGACTCCTGCCTGGGCTTCATCTGCACGCACCACGCACCTCTTTCCATGACTGGCACTTCCTCACTCCAGCGACAGACAATGAAACACTTGACTGGGCTAATTTAAGAGAGAGGGGAAGATGCATAGAGGACAACAAGCAAGGTGGAGAGGCAAAATGAGATAGCGTGTAGGGGAACAGAAAAAATAATTAAAGCTAAAATGGAAATAAGGAGGAAAGGAGAGAAAAGGGGAGGCAAATGTAATTAAAACGGATACCACGTCTCGCAATCCGACTGAGGTGCCTTAGTCATAGCTAAGTGAACAGAGGATGGCGGAGTGCATGAATTGTTCTACTGCTGAGACTAATGGCAAAATCACTGCGGTGTAAAATAGAAATTTCAGACTTGATTAATTTATGTATTTATGGACGAGGTTGCGTTTTCCTTCTTCTCCTAAGGATAATTTGGTTAAGCGTGTTGTTGCGCTCACAAATTGGCCTGACTTTTGTGAGAATCTGGTGGAGGCACTCGAAGGGGAGAACAGAGGAGTTGTGAATCAGGAGCTGGATGTGGAGCGGCGTTGCCAGAACAATGTCATTGCTGAAGGCTGACTACTGCTCTCTGTGTCACTGGGGATTTAGGAGACTGGGAGAGCCTCGTGAAAGTAGGATATTTAGTACAGTTAAGGACGAGTAGATTTGATGAGACAATTGGGATGGTGCAAAAGTTGAATATACCTTACTACAACTACTGCTGCTGCTACTTGTACAACTACTTTTACAACTACAGCTACTGTACATAATGGCCTGCACTATACTGTTGAATGAAGAATGCAATTTCCAGTTGAGTTTATTCATATGTCAATTTGCTGTTCTTTGAAATATATTGTTAAGAATAAGACGTTTAGATTACATTACTTTGATATTTAGATTTTTTTATATATATATTTTGCATCCTCACCACACACCATGTAAAAAACTGAGATTAAACCAAGACTACAACCAATGAAGTGTGAATGTTACCTCTGTATTATTTATTATTTATTTATAGTGGTAGACAGGAGTTTAAGAATTATAATAGTACCAATAGTACCAAACCAGTAGTAATATCAGTAACAACACTGATAGTCCTAGTAGCAGTAGACACAAGAGTAGTAGTGGTGGTGATAGTAGTAGTATTGACAGGAAGCTCTACTTTGTACATCCACTTGAGTCATCCTACTTCCATGCAGTTTATTTTCACTTGTGCGCACAATTGGAGTTTTCCTTCCACCTCTAACTACAAATGACTCAGGCCAGTCCTACACGTTGTTTTGATCTGTGTGTGGATCCACTAGTCACTGGAAACAACTGCAGTGAACTGAATCTGAACCCCACTTAGTGAATATATATCTATATATTTGTGCGTTATGGTGCAATGAGTCAGACACACCACTTGCTATTATGCTTGGTGCTTACTTTAACAATTTTATCTTCCGAATCTAATCTAATACATTCAACTTTCAAATTACCTTGCAGATGTGATAACTCAGTTCTCAGCAACTTTTTACATTATGTTCAAAAACTGTTTACACTATGTTCAAAAAGAAATACTATAACATTTTCTCAAATACATTTTAAAATATTGTGTAATGTCTCTTTCAGTATTGCTATTGACGTTATTGTACCAGTACAGCAGTAGTAGTAAAAGTAGTATAGTGTAGAAAATTGCATTTTAATCTTTAAAAATGGCCTTGTGGTATTGAAATCTGTGTCAGTATCATGTATCAAGCCTTATCTTTGGTATTGAAATTGAGTTTGAAATGATAAACACTTAACCATATAAAATGCCATATAGCTGCATGGTAAGGCTTTTCTATTTGACAGTAGCTTCAGATACCTGCATTTATCTATAAGGAGAGTTTCACCGGCTGCAGATAAGAATGCCTTACCTTCAATGGGAGCCAGGATGACGCGCGAATGGTCATAGGCGATGACGTTTGCGTAACGATTCTTCGGCTTGTTCACTTCCAGGTTGGAATGCTCCCAGGTGAACTGCTGACCTGGATCGATAGACTGACAGGGACAAAAAAAGAGGAAGAAAAAAATAAGAATCAGTAATAGTGGCTCAAAACAAAACATATTACCAAAAGTAATTTTCCAATTAAGAAAAATACAAAAGAGAAATGGGTACACTGCTCAGATTAAACACATGAAACAGCTGTACATATTGCTATATCAAGATCAATAATAGAGTGTAGCTAATGCATAATGGCTCAGAACAATATTGATGGAGGTGGCAGCTTTCTTTGCCTGGAGCGTGAAGAAACGAACACGCTCTCGCTGCTACCCCCTTTTACATTCTAAGGATTACGTATAAATATTCAGATGCCTTGTCAGGTTTATTTACTATTCCATTACCATTCATTGTTAGCTCGTAGGCGTTGGTGTGCGGACTTGGACTGTGAGGGAGTTTGCATTGAGCGTTGGTGGGGAGAGGGGCAGCTTGGATAGAGGACATTAGGGCTAGATGAAGTCCAACTGGAAACCCGAGTGGACAATTTGCATCTAATCATTACAACAATCAGGCTTTTCCCTCCATTTTAGCCTCCATCTATTCCCTTTGGCACAATCGCTCCCCCTCTCCCTCTCTCTCCTGTTTTGGTGCGCTTGTTTTCCTTATCTGGATCTGCGGATCATCTCCTTTTCAAAGGCAGCCATGTCCTTATTTCTTCCTCACTATCTCATCTCTATCTGTCTCTGATGTTTGCACCACTTCTCTGCAGCTCGGTGAAACTACGCTTGCTTTTTATGTAGCTTACTTTGAAAGAGAATTTGGGTCAAACCAATAAAATAGTAGGTATATACTGTAGTGGCTCATAGTTCAATAAATACCATAAGCGTTAATCAGGTCTATATAATCAATCAGGATATTTCAATACAATTATGTCAGTTGTCAGATACTATTGATTTGTTCATTTGATGGAACTTGTGTTTTACTCAAAATGACTTCAGAAGATGGTACCAGAGTTGGCCATAATATCAATACCTAGATTTTTCTTATATCAGTACAAAACAAGTATTGAAACTAGATACATATTTGTGTAGGTATTTGTAGTGATGGAAATGTCATAAACAGGACAGAATGTAACCTTTTCAGAATGGACTTTATCTAGTAGTATGTAAGACCCAATAGTACTACAAAATGATACCATGGTGGACAGGAGCCTTGAAAACATTCCTTAAAAAGCAATATTCCTGCTATTAAGTTTTAATCTCTTTATTCATACTTTAATCATTGTTGTTTTTCTTTTGCTATAGCTTTACACTGTAGAGCTTTGAGATTCACCTTTTGAGATGCTTTCAAAAGTAAAGTGCATTATAAATAAAATGTATTATTATGATTATTATGATTATTAAAATAAGGTACTTTGGGTTGCAAATTACACAAGCTGAATAGAAAAACTGTTTATCCTAATTATTGCGGTGTCAAATCAGTATCAAGTAATGAGCCTTTGCTTAGTATCAAAATTGAGTTTGACGTTTGTGTAACATGACAACACTAGATAGTACAGCCTGTTGGTTTTAGTAGTCATTTAAGAAGGGAGTATTTTGATAACTTGCAGATTTATTTATTTACTTTCTCTGAAGAACATTCTGCAGTACTTCTCTGTTCATCATAACACACCATTTTGCTGATTATAATTGCTTAAACTACTGAAATGAGATTCAAAATTGATTTTATCCAGAGGACTAACGTAAAATAAAGTCCATCCGGGAATGCACTTTTTTAAGCCCTAGACTCCAAAAAGTGCCAGAAAGTGTTTTGAAGCTCCTCCAATCTCCCAGCCCTGGTTTGTATGTGCAGAAAGATTGAGGTCACTTCTGGGAGACATCAGTCAGTCTGAAAATTAAGACCAGCGTATGAGTAATATTTGCTTTGCGCGTGTAGTACCAAATTCTGTGGAATAACTTCGACCGGGAATAATTTTCAATTTGCTTGAATAATGCATCAATTTCTCCTGCCTGTGATGAGAGAGCTGGGGCCATCACGGAGCTTTGACTGAAATTGCTGCTAACTGCTTGACATTTAATGAATATATGGCATCCCAGGTGAAACAGACCCACCAATGGAGGATTGTGCCCAGTGTGAAGTAAAATATGCCCTATCATATACTTCTAAAGAAATAAACACTAGCAGCATTTTCAGAAATGACTGTGATAGCAGTATTGGCAAGCTTTGTAGATTTTATTAAACTTGCTTATTTGAGTAATGATATTGAAAAGAATACATACATAGGTCCAAACAGTTTCAGTGTAAGTTTTGAACGGCTTAGTAGAAGATCAAGTGGTAAGATTTAAGAAGAAGTACTATTAATTTGAGGTGTAGGTTGCATTATATTTTTTGAAAATGTTATTGTTTTAATCATCATTATGGTATCAAAATCAGTATTGAATATCGAGCCTACTTCATATCAAAATCGAGTTTGAGCTTTAATACTGTGGTGATGTCATCTGAACAGAAGTGCACTGCATGAAATTATGGGCTTCAGCTTTCTCTTATAGGCAACATTTTGAAGAATCTTTACCATTCAAAAGATAAGTTACTTAGATTCACATTATTGATGGCAACAGTCCTAATATTTTCAGCATTTTAAGTATTTAAGTAAGTATTGACAATGCAGCAGTAATAAGTACAAATGTTTTAGTAGATGCAGTAGAAGTTGTAGTATTATAATCTGTTCATGGGTTTCTGCTTCCTGTCATATATATTGATATTGGATATATATTGATTTTAAATTGTTGGCATGGCAACGTTCCTAATTTCTAATCATTCTGAAACTGCAGAAGCTCTAATAGTTGTGAAAATACTTTATAATATTACTATTTTTGGACCACACACTTTGAGTATAGTGTTCCAGGTAAAACAGGGTCTCTTTCATTCCTATTGGGTTCCGTGTGTGTTAGATTATCTTTTCTTGCTGGCCTTGCTCCAGTTGTGATGCCCTCTCTATTCCCACTGAATCCTCATCATTAACTGCACTCCTCTACCTCATCTTTCTCCCACTCTCTCCTTCCTCTGTTGCTTCTCCACCCGGCTCCCCCTCGCCCCCATCTCCTCCATCACACCCTCACATCCCGCCTGCCTAAAAACCAATCAGTCAAAAAGCCCCGAAAGAGCCGCGCTTGGCAAGCCGGGGCGCCTGGACGAGCAGTCATTCATCAAGAAAATAACAAAATTAAAATTACACTTCTCGATTTAATTTGGTCATTTATTTTTCCTGGGGGGTGCTGTGCTGGGGTGTGTGAAGGGTGCAGGAGTGAAAAAAGAGTGAAAAGCCGACTGTACGGACACTAAACCCTAAAGTAATTAGAAGCTGTAGCTGCAGCTAAGCGTTGACTTTTACTGTAGTCTTTATTTGCACTGGAACAAGCTTGTCCATTTGCAGTGTGGATTTATGAATTATAGATACCAAAGGAAATATTCAATTGCTATGAGAAGTCGTTATGCGTCTGACCCAGAGGCATGATGGGAGCAATCTCCAGCTCTGTGTACCACATCTCTACCTAAGGCCTGTGCAGAGTGGAGTGAGGCGACAGGCGCGTGATTTAGGGACAGCCAAAGCGGGATATTGCTTGTATGCAAACGAGAGCTGATTCAGCGCTCCTGATTTCTAATCAACTCGGGTGTCATTTATAATGCCGCAGTCTCAGAGCCCAGACAGCTCAGTTCTCCCCCCCACCACCACCACTCCCATACACACAAGTACACACACACAAAAATACACATGAACGTGTTACACTACATCCAGGGAGCCAGAGGGAGCCTGTTCTTGCACGGCAAACAGAATTTTGCATAACATAAAATGATTTTTACTTGGAAAATTGCAAGATGTTTGACAAGGTAATGCTATGGAAAAGAATACATAAATAATAATAGAATAAATAAATTACAAAGTTTTTAACATTTCCAGTACAGATTATGAATGGCTATGATTGTTATGATGTTAACTAGTACCACATGATAATATTTAAGAAACTACGGTAACACTTTATAATAACTACACCTTACTTAGCCTTAATAAAACATGAACAAAGACTTAATTAATAATGAACAAAGATTTAATTAATAATGATTCACGCTTAGTAAATACTTAATAAAGCATAATTTGTCTTTACTTTAGAAAAGCTCTCAAAAAGACTTAACTAACAGATAACAGCTGCCTGAATTATCATTGCATTGCATTATTAGTAAATCATTCTCTCATAGTTTACTAATGATTATTAAATGCTCAAATGGTTAGTTCATGAGTAATTAAGTATGAAATAATTATGAGTAACTATTTACAGCACAGGCAAATTAAGTGCAAGTACTAATTAAGGTAGTAATTATGTAGTTACTAAGTGTGATCATTATTAATTAAGTCTGTTCATTATTAAGTAAGCCTTTGTTCATGCTTTATTAAGGCTAAATAAGGTGTAGTTATTATAAAGTGTTACCAAAACTACTATTATTATTTTTTTTAATCAGCAAGATTACTTAAAAGAGTTTGAAATTTTTGTATCGTGGCAACTTTATCTGAGCGTCTGAGCAGAAGTGCATTTATAGGTTTCAGCTTTTTAATTTTCTAATTCACCATTCAGAAAATAAGATCTTTTACTTGGAAAATTGCATGATGTTACACAATAATGTTTAGCAATTACAAATATTTAAACATATTAATATACACATTGACATTACATCAGATTAAATCATTAATAATAATGACTGGAGAAGAAGAATGGATGAAGTATGTCAATGGTGAAAACAGAAAATTGTCTTTGTGATGACCTAACGCTGCTCAATGACTTGAAGTTTTAACAAGGCAATAACAAACAGGAGAAAATGTCCACTCCCATGGGCAAAGCTGCACTATGACCTCACAATGAAAACACAATCATAGGAAAATCAATACTCTGAAGCTAAAGGGGGAAAGAAACTTTGACACTTCGACCTCCTCACCTCATATTCCTGAGAGAGTTTCAGGTTGTCATTGGCTTTGAGTAGCTCCGTGTGCTCCGCCAGCTCCGAAATAGGGATAGGAGGGTGGTTCATCATACCTGCTCAGCAAGAAAACAGAGAAAACATGTATAAGAAGATGGCAATGCAATTTAAACACTGAAAACAAATTATTTTTAACAAGTGGTAGTGGTGAGGAAGCTTGTGCACAGCATACACTGCAAAAAAGTGCCAAATACTGGGGTTATAGTGACCAGGCTGGAGTTCAAAAAGTTTTGCTATTTTCCTTATATGCTACTCATTGATTGGTTTGTGGTTGTAAAAAAAAAAAAATATTTTAACCAAACAATGGCCATTACATCAAGAGAGACATGGATTAAAGGTCCTATATTACACAAAATTTACTCTTGTGAGCTTTAAACCATGTTATGTTGTTACCTCATCAAAAAGATACCTGGAGTTGTGTTTTGTTTCATTCACAAATGTTTGAGTAACCCTTTATTATTAATCTGCTTACATCTCCAAAGCTCAAAATGCTCTGTTCCACATTGTGATGTCATATAGTTGTCAAGTTAACAGCTCCCTTTTACCTTAAATTCAGTACAGATTGGCAATTCCAGGGCTGAAATTATCCAAACTATTTTAGTGAAGGTGTATGGAGTTTAAAAACACAGTGGACTTGTATTACCACATGATATCACAAGGTGGAACAGTGTGTTTTCAGTTTGAGAGATATGCAGGGTTTGTGAGTTAAACATGCAGGGGAGGACTGGGCTTTTCCAGAACGTACAAATTGTCACTCCCCCTGTAAAAATCTGTAAATAAAACACACTCCAGGTATGTTTTTGATGAGGACACGATATAACACATCAGAAAATAGCGCAATATGGGCCCTTTAAAGATCAGCTGCAGAATAACATTTAAAACTATAAAAGTATGTTAATGTATTCATACTCTGAAAACAGCATAGCTACTGTTGCCATGCAAAGTTTTGGTGCCACTGTAAATGCGTGAAGCCCTAACCTGGGATTATGTGAGGAGTAAGGTGACCACAAACAATATTTAAGTTGTCAAGCATGTTTCATATAGTGCAAAGCAAGCAAGCTACTATCTGTGCCCGTGAAAAGGTCCTCTTATATATAAAAAAGACACACATACAGCAATACCCCTTGAATATAACATTATTTTCAATGAGATATCATGAGAAAGCCTTTCACTACTACCAATATTCACAATGTGCTGCTGCCACTGCGCCACTGTAATCAACCCCGCTGTGCGCTCCAGTCTGCTAATCCATTTAGACGCATAATGCTGGGGCCATGTAATGGAATATGCAGCAGCCATAGATTGGTGCTGTGTCCCTGCATGTGGCCAAGGAAATACTTAACACTTCTATATTTTAGTCAGAGCCCCATTTCCCGCTGAGTGCACGGGGTCATAGGTCAACACAACGTCAACACCGCTTCTCAAAGGACATGTCTTAGCTTAATTGAGCATGAGAATCAGCCTAATCACATTAAAAGGCCAGCATTTTCTCCTTATTAAAGATGCTTAATATCACTTACAATGTCAAGAGAGGTGAGTATGTTTTAGCTGACTCTGTGTGGTGAATACAACAAAAGGTAAGTGAGCCTATGACACTAATCACTCAGTTGTGCTGAATCTACTGGGTTTTGTTATAAACTCTATTGACAAAGTTGTAATATTTTTAGTTATTAGTTATATTTAGATATCTTAAAATCTAAAATCCAAACCATTGCTTACAGTACTGTACATTTAATACTGAAACAGATCATAGATTTTCTGCCATTTTATGTATTACATTGTTCAATAACACTTGTATGTGAATGTGAATGGAATAGCTCATATAATAGTTGGCTATGTTGAGAAGACAGGCAGATCTCCCTGTGCTGACATTCTTAATTAGTAATGACAATTTATTTTACAATGTAGAAGCATTAATTATGTGAAGATTAACAAAGATTACAATGCTACACATCTTCCACTACATAGCGGGCTTGTTAAAAGTTACGCAACAAGCACAGATGCCCTTTACACAAATTGTCTAAATGCTTTGGTCTAAATTAATGTTATTTTGTTGTTCCTAATTAATTATTACTCCTTAATACCAAACAAAGAAAACCTTGTAATAATATGAGGACACATTTTATGCAAAAACTGTTTATTTGTGCTGTTTTTCGGAGAGCTAACAAACCGTGGCGATATTGGTGGCAGCTCTCAAGAAGTGTTATTAATCACTTCTGCGACGGGGATTCGGCAAGATAAGCACGGAGAAAAATAACAAATTTAATTTTGTTGGCAGTTCCAAATTCAAAAGGAAAGCTATCAGAAGTTATGAGAAAAATAAGAAATGTATGTAATTGTTGAGGTCCTGGCTTTTCCGTGCGATAGAACAGGGGCGGTGTGTTTGAGCCTAGATCAAAGACTGTTTGTGGTATACTTTTGCAGTGTGAATAAATTAATCAAATTCTATCAGGTGCTCTGAGATGTTGTTTACTGTCTGCATGGGAAAGAGCTGAACAGTTGGACACCCCTATCAGGCCAAAGTGTTTACCTGCAAATTTAATGTTTCTAAGTTAGAATTTGTTTATTTATCCGAGCAAACTCTCCGAAAAGTTGGATTGAAAATGTTTTCTCCATATGTGTATCGGGCTAGGGCTAAAAGGTGCTGCAAAAAATGGTAAAAAACAAGTAAGTATATTTATTCCAATATTGCAATTAAAAATGTGCTTGTACTTTACATTGATGTAGTACACTGCGGTTTATCAAATTAATATTAAAAAAACAGCTGACAGTGTTTTTCTGCTCACTACTCAGTTGCATAAATGTGTAAGTATTTCTTTCTTTAAGTTAACTAAAGGGCCAATGTTGCACTTTTTGTCTGATATATGCTCTAATGTAGATTCTTCATAAACATACCTGGAGCTGTGTTTTGTTTCATTTACACATGTGAAACACACAAACCCTGCATACTTAGACTCTGCTCCACCTTGTGATGTCATGTGGCAAAACAAAAAGCACTCCTCTGTGTTTTTAAACTCCATACACCTGGTGATTCCAGTCCAGTCAGTTACCAAACTCTATTAAACGAAAGGCAAAAGGTAGCTGGTAATTTGAAAACTACCATTATATGACATCACAAGTTGGAACAGAGCATTTTGGAGATGTAGACAGTCTCAAACATATGTGAATGAAGCAAAACACAACACCAGATATGTTCATAATATAGGACCTTTAAGCTCTAAAAATATCAGAAAGATTATTATCAATATGGGTTTGATTTATTAATTTTACTGCAGTTTATCTTCTGCTATGAGACAAGTCCTTTTTGTGCAAATCAACATGAACTGTCTTTTAAGATGATCAATGTTTTACCGTGTTTGTGACTTTCAAAATTTGCACTTATCATTTAAAAACCCCATTTGAATGCCCTATTTGTGTACACTGTATTGTGAAATCAGTATCTGTGTCCCTTGTAGAGCAATGTTATTCAAGGACAATTTTCATCCCATCCAACGCTTTATAACGCGCTAATTGTTTTCTAAATTCCCCCACATCTGCATAAATTTTCACATCCCAATCAAGAGTGTGATCAGTGAATCCTACAAAACCAACTCCCATTTAATTACACATTTCCGAACCTTCTCAGTGAATGAAAAACACTGTATAATGACTCCTCCTTGATAAGTCAACGTAGTTCCTTGTTACCCACAGAATATTTGAGATGTGTCTGTGTTTGCATATAAAAGAGAAAATTCAAGCGGGTAAGCAGGAGGGGTGAGGCTCCAGTAGAGTAAATCCAGAATCTAGAGGATTTCACAGCGAGCAGGGGAGAGAGAGGTTATGAAATGTTGAGCCATTGTTTGCTAAAGCTCTAATTAATTTTGCTTGTTAGTGGCTGGTGCACATAAGATGTAGTTAGTTGGAAAATGCAATGAGAAAGAAGAGGAGTGAGAAGTAAGGGATAATATTATGGCCGTGTCCAAATCTCCTCCCTCGCCCTTTAGCTGTTTGCATTATATAGTTTAGCTACTCATGGGTTTCGGCGTCCTGTTATAGGAGACATTTTGAGTACTGTTCAAAAGATTACTTGCTACAGCAATGGTTCTACTTTTTCATTATTCTGATGAACCTATGGGTAGATGGAAGACAAAGATTGACACCAATTTTTGTTTAAGCAAGTGAACCAAACTGGCAAAACTGTATGTTTTCTGACTCCTTTTGTCAAAATAATATAAATGAATCTATAGTTTCAACCGCATTTGAGTAAAATATAGAAGATGTTATCCAATTGCAGTAACCACAGTTGTACTTACACTAAAAAGAATGGAAATGTATTACTAGATTACTAGGGATGAAATTTGGACACAGCGCCTTCACCTATCCACTATCTTCAACATCAACAGGTTATTTTACACAGTGAGGATCAATGCCCAGGCTCAAGTGAATGGCATCCAATACAGGCAAAATAAAGCAGGGTATTCCAAAAATCATAGTCAAAATTAGTGCCAAATATATAGCTGCGTCATGTGAAAAAATAAAGCAAAATGTCTATTCAAAATTGAAGGCAAGCAGGGCCAGATAACACACAGGAACAAAACCCATATAAAAAGGTGAGACTAACTTTCACCATTCAAATCTGCATCACTCTGTGGACTGCTTAGACCAGAGTCTGCAAAAAATATAGGGAGATGTTGTATGACAGCTACAATGCAACACAATGCTAAATAAAATTATAGCATATGGAAGCATGAAAAACAACTGAATTCTTAACAGCTTAAAGGCTCCATATTATGCTATTTGTTCATCTATGCTATAATGCTGTATCCTGATACATATGCCTTGAGTTTTTGTTTTGTTTCATTCATACATACGTGTTTATCCTGCCTATCTTCATGTCTCAAACGGAAAACACGACATGTGATGTGATGTCCTTTGATAATTCATTAATTCATTCATGACATCATACGGTTTTGTGCTTTGGAGTTACATGCGTGACTGAAACAAAACACAACTCTGGGTATGTTTTTGATGAGGAAACAACATTATAACATGATTTAAAGCTCACAAGAGTCAATTT